CTCCTCTTTAGAGTGCATGGCAGAGGCTTTATCTATGATTTCTGCCATCTGGATCTCCAGCTCCATTGCTTTCCTCAGTGACCCCATTGTCTGAATTGGCTTGAACACCCCTCGGTAGGATGCATGCTGGGAAATGACCTCTTTGGCCAGTCGCCTCTGTGTCCTCCTGGGTTCATGAAGCTGTTGTCTCTAGAGAGGGTAAAAGGAAAGTCTCCGCCAGGACACGAGGCCAAGAGGACTCAGGCTGTCTCCACAGCTCCACGTAGGACCACCAAGAGCAGATAATGAGAGCCAAAAGGACTTGCATTATATCCAGCAATTCTTGCACTGGGAATCTAAAAGATCATTCTTATACCTGATGTCTCCCAGGAAGTCAAAGAAAGTGTAGGTAGACAGCAGAAATACCCCCCAACTGGCAATCCATTTGGCTTTTTAGAATTTAAGAGGAAAGAAAAGGAGTTATTTCATAACATGACCAGAATATTCAGAATATTGACTTAGAAGGAAAGGCTGGACTATTTTTCTTTGCACAAAGCCTCCCCTCCTCAGCAGTGTGCTTGGCAGAGGCAAGAAATGGTTGTGGCACCTGTCCATTTTGCTTTGATATGGGCATCGTCCACTTTCATATACCCAAGTTTCAATAAAAGTGTCTGTTTCCACTTCTGCAGATGGCAGGAGTGACAGGCAACAGAATACGCCTCCTACCCATGGCCAAATGCAGCAGGAGTTCTTAATGATTATTTAAATTTTATAATGTCAGAACACCATGTCAAATGAAGTACACAGAACATTAAATGTTCTATGAGTGCATCAGGAAACATAAGCTTGCAATTTTGGCAAGGCTGAATTCTGTGTTTTGTTTTGTTTTGTTTTTGTCAGTCATGGGGCTTGAACTCTGGCCCTGGGCACTGTCCCTCAGTTCTTCACCTCAAGGCTAGCACTCTACTACTTGAGCCGCAGTGCCACTTCTGGTTTTCTGGTGGTTTATTGGAGATAAGAGTCTCATGGTCTTTCCTGCCCGGAATGGCTTTGAACCATGATCCTCAGATATCAGCTTCTTGAGTAGCTAGGATTACAGGCATGAGCCACCAGCGCCGGGTGGCAAAGTTGAATTTTGAAAGAGACTCATTCTTCAGTTTTGTTTTTATTATTTTATTTATTATCAGTCCTATATGACCCACTAATTATTTATTTTAAAAAGTTATTGAGTGTCAAATGGGCACTTAATATACAACAAGGATGTAGGATGCAGGGAGAAAATAATAAGGAATAGATTTTATTTCTCTTTCCATATAAAAGTTTTTCTTGGAATGTGTTCAGGGATATGTTATGCTTAGATGGGAAATTATGAGACAAGTAATTTGCAGTTCTAATTCTGCATAGCCAATGTTTGTTTTTCTTTCTCCCCATAGATGCTAGATGAAATTCATTTTTTTTTCTGGAGAAGAAAACAATAATCTCAATCCCTCTTGACCATGACATTGACTGATTATCTATCTGCTTCTGCTCCTAAGTGCGTTTGTACCTGAGCAATGAGCATGAGGTTGCTTGCATTCCTCTAAAGACTCACGATTATCTCCCTGATAAGCCAGAGAAAGATGAAATGCCCCGCTTTCACTGTATCTCATGCAGCCACAGCTTTCTATTTTAACATTTTCTTAACCATCCCTTCCACGCACTACAAAGGTGGTATCATTAATAGATGGAAGGGTGTCTTTTCCTTGCTTATCGTTTACAACCCTCCAACCTTCAAAAGATATTTGAGGCTGTTTAAAATAAAAGTCAAATGTGTCATACTTGCAAACGCCTGAGAAAGTAGGGAAAGTTTTGTATGATAGCCCTTTTTCTTTCTTTCATGGAAGTTTAACTTTCAAAATTCCATAAAAGCTAGAAAGGGGCATCCATTCATTGTATTCCAGAGGTAGGAAGATCACAATCCAAGGCCAGTCCAAGCAAAAGCAGGGAAAGCAAATGAACAACAAAAACAAAATAACAAAAGAACTGGAGGTCTGACTCAAATGGTATAGCATTACCAAGTAAGCATGAGACACTGAGTTCAATCCCTGGTACCATAGAAATCATCATAAAGCATATTAAGGCTCATAAAGCTCCCATTCTTACATACAGACTCCTTTTTAAATTGTATTTTCCTATCTATGTTGAGATTACCTATGAATCAGGCCTTACCTAATCACAGATATGGTATTCAGACTTCCTGGCCCACAGTATATACATCATAGTCCTCTTACATAAGAGGAGCAAAAGGTTTAAAGAGGCAAAGTAGCGAATGGCTGAGAGAAGTTTAAGGCAGGTCTGATGGTCTCTAGAATGCTTTGTTATTAGGGAATATTATTAAGTAGGAGGTTATGTCCCATTAATGGACTGTGAAATCAATTTATTAGACCATGATTACTTTTCACATTAATAAAATAGAAGAGCAATGATCAGAGTTCATCCAAGACAAAAAAAAGGTAAGTGATATTGCCCAGGTTTTGTTTTATTGTATATGTGAGTAGGGTGAGTATTGGTATAAAAGGATGTGGATGGTTGTGGTTATGTGGGTGTGAGGGATGGGGTGTGTATGGTGATGTATACAGCTATGTCAGGAGGGATTTGTGGGTGTGTACAAGTATGGATGTGGGTACAGATGAATATATGTGTGGGTGGGTCAGTATATATGCTGGATTATGTTACAAAAATTTATTTCTAACTGAAGTACTGCTTTAAAAAATGTGAAAGTCGCTACACTAAAATACGTTGAATTGCACTCATTCATATTCTAAGAACAAGAATGTCATGTTGTTGTTTTTGATCATTCTGCCTTCTATAGACATCTGTACAAGCAAGAAGTTCGGAATTCTTAGGATCTTTGACTCTTTCCTTTACATGAGTTGACTTAATAAGCCAATCCTCAGAGCCATGTAGTAGAGAAAGGCTGCCTAACATAGTCAAAGACTGGACTGGGTTTATGCCTCGTTACTCTAGTACACCATTTACCATTCATTCCCCATTGCAGCAAGAACAGGAACCAGTGGGTGAGAAAAATCACCCTAGCACCATTCTCTGGGTTGGCTTCTAAAAGCTTAACATGCACTTGTAATTCAAATACGCTCAGTGCCCAGCCTCACCCTCCCTCTTGCCTTTTAACAAATGCATCAGTTGTCTAACAATGAAGACCAACAGATTTCCTTACTTTAGGGGTGTCTCTAAAGGAATTGGAAAGAGCCACTTTACATGGGCTGTTCCCAAGAATCAGGACAAAACTTTGTCTTCATTTCCTCAGTTTTATCTTAACCCCAATTGGCATGACGGCCATTAACATTCAATAAAATTAATTAGGAATTACCCAGCATAAAGTAGATAATGTTCTTTACTATTAAAGTTAGTTCCTGTATCTGCTAGGTTAAAAACAAAAATAAAATGTTTCCTTAGCTGATGGAGAGAAATTCTGAGTCACCATGTCAAACTTTGGCAGCATGGTTAGGGGCATTTTGCCAACACTTCTCTGATTCTCTTCAAGAAATCAAAATGAACCATAGCTATTTCTGGGCCTGCTCTCTTCTTAAATCAACTTCTCTGATGTTTCAACTTGAACTCCTTTTAGAAAAAAATAGGCAACTTCCTTACCTTTCCTAATCAAGTTAAGAAAAAATAACACATATTTCCTTATTTTCTGGAAAACATTCCCAAATTTGCAAGAATGTCTAAATTTCTAGAATTGTTGTGTCCTTCCTATCCATAAGCAGAGAACTCTTGTAAATGTTCATTATATTTCTTTTCTGTACTTACTTTCAACTTTCATTACGTTTGTGCTATGTTCTCAGCCCAAGAAAAGTTTAATTAATCTTCATAAACAACTCTCAAGTGCAAGTTCCAGGCTTCTGAATTCTTCTACCACAATGGTTAAGAGTGGGCCTTTGGGGTCAGAGGTCAAGTCAGACCTTCCCTGTGTCACTTTCAAAGTGACCAACAGTAGGTAAAAGGCTTAACTTTTCTCCCAGAGCCTGAACAATAGTTTCACCCCATACTGTAGGCAAGGTGAAAGATTCACTGAAACAAACATGCTCAGCTTGCCTGATGCACAGCAAACTCAATGAAAATTAGGTATTCTTGCTTAGTATTATCTCCCTTTAAGATTTAAGATTTAACTCACACTTAAACTATCTTTTTGCATCTGTTTATATACATACATATATATATATATGGCACACATATAAATACACACAGGTAAAGATCGAAACAAAGATACATAGACAGGTAGGTAGGTAGATAGATGGATAGATGGATAGGGACATAGAGATGAATTAAGTCACTGCTTGTAATAAAGCATAGTGAGTAAATGTATATATCTGTTATGATTTTACTTTTGTGTTTCCAAGAGTGGACAACTCCTTGATTTATGCAAAAAAGAAGAATGAGACATTTGGCTTGCTGCGTATTACCTTGCTGAAATCAAAATGATATTTGAATTGCAACAGGAACACCTATGCAATGAAATAAATCTTGATCCCAGTTCTTAGAACAGCTGGTGTTAGACCTGATCATGGTTACTTAAAATGTTAGCACTGAAGGTATTAGTTGAAGCAATGGAGCATGAAGAATAACACCAGGAAAATCAGACTCATTAGACTTTCAAAAACCAAGTAGACAAGTACCCATGGCTCATGCCTATAATCCTAACCACACAGCAGGCTGAGGTCTAAGGATCTTGGTTCCAACTCAGCCCATACAGGAAAGGCCATGAAGACTCTAATCTCCAATTAACAACCAAAAAGCCAGAACTGGAGCTGGGGATGAGGTGGTGGAGAAGAGTCAGCCTTGAGTTAAAACAGCTCAGGGACAGAACCTAGTCCCTGATATCAAGCCCCAGAACTGACACCACCAAAAGATTGTGTTAATACGATATAATAATAATAATAATAGACAGCATGAATAGTCATGGCCATGCTCCCACTTGGTTTCTCCTATGTAATATTTCTGCCTCTCTCCCTTGCATATAGGTTTTGCTCTGACTGAAGGCAGCACGGCCGCCCCTGCATGCCCCAGAGGGTATTTTCCCTGTGGGAACCTCACCAAGTGCCTGCCCCGGGCTTTCCACTGTGATGGTGTGGATGACTGTGGCAATGGCGCAGATGAGGAGAACTGTGGTGAGTCCTCCCACTCTGTTCCTCATGCTTCGCTGCATGCGCTCCCTTCCCCCACCCCCCAATGGTTGGTCAGCCAGTGGCTGGTGCAGGTGCAGGTGAAGACACTGATCTGTGGGGAATCCCTTTGCAATGTAAATATCCCCGCTAGATTTATTCGTGATTACCAACAGAATTTTTATAGAGAGAGCTTGCTGAAATCAGAAGTACGATATTAGAAAAGGTTACACGTTATGAAATGGAACGCATATTCCTCGGATCTACTTGGGATCTTTCCTGTTATCACTTGATAAAAGGTTTCCTGTGACTATCTCTTAGGAATGGCAATTTGGTTCAGCTGGAATAAAGCCCATCAAATGGGATGGGGCTCAATAGAGAGTTAATTGATTGTCCCTGCTGGTATTGAATGCCTAAGCCCTCCCAAATCATTGGATCGCAGACAAAGTTCTTGCCCTTGCGGAGTCGACATGACATACAAAGACCATAAACGTACATGTAAACAAGTTACCCTCAGACAATGAGAAGTACTATACTTTTTTTTTTTTTTTTGGTTGGTCGTGGGGGCTGAACTCTGGGCCTGGGTGCTCTCCCTCAGCTCTTCATCTCAAGGCTAGCGCCCTACTTCTTTAGCCACAGCGCCACTTCTGGCTTTGTTCTGCTTATGTGGTGCTGAGGAATCAAACCCAGGACCTCATGCAAGTGAGGCAAGCATTCTACCACTGAGCCACCTTCCAGGCCTATACATTTTTTAAAATGATGATATTGAAATGGAGTTGAAAGGGTGCATTAAGAATACAACCAGATATGGTGACATTTGAACTGAGAACAAAATGATAAAAAGAATGGAGGAGGAGGGAGGGAGAGAAGAAGAGGAGGAGAAAAAGAAGGGAAGAGGAGCAGAGGGGAGCAGAGGAGGAGGAGGAGGAGGAGAAGAAATAAAAAAGGGAGAAGACAGAATCAATGAAATCTTCCATCTTCTCAGGGGTATAAAATTCCAAGCAAAGGAAAACAGCCAACACAAAGGCTACAAAACTGAATTAAGCAAGATGATATGTGGCAGAAATGGAAAAGCCCCCATGGCTTGAGTGGAGTCCGTAAGGGTATAAATAAAGGTTTAAGTGGACTAGATCACACAGGGGGCTTTTATTTTGTTTTTTGTTTTGTTTGTCCTGGGGCTTGAACTCAGGACCTGGGTGCTGTCCCTGCCTCTTCGTTCTCAAGGCTAGAGCTCTACCACTTGAGCCATAGTGCCACTTCTGGCTTTTTCTAAGTAGTTTGTTCAAGATGAGTCTCATGGACTTTTCTGCCGGGGCTGGCTTCAAACCATGATCTTCAGATCTCAGCTTCCTGAGAAGCAAGGATTACAGGTGTGAGCCACCAGCACCCAATTCACACATAAGAGTTCCACAGGCCACTTTAAGGTAATCTTACCTGTCTATAGTACTGAGAATGGGACTCATGTCAGGGAGGATATCCTCTGCTAATTCTGTAGACTCCATTGAGGCATTGTCTCCTGGTCTCATAAAAGCTGCACCCCAGCCCAAGATGGCTACAACTCCCCTCTCTTGCCCCAGTACCTTGCATATATTGCTACAGCAACACCAAGTGGTCTGCCTTATGTTTTACTCTGTTTCTCCCAGTAGACAAGAATACATTGAATATGCTGTTTTGGTTGCCCCCAGAACATAGGATAGTAGAGTACACAATAGGCACTCGATCAGTGCTCAGTGTAGGTGGCAACTTTCTAGATTCCAATAAAAAAGCCACTGATAGAGACTTTTTTAATGCTAGTACTAGGGATTGAACTCAGGGCCTGGACACTGTCCTAGATCTTTTTGCTCAAGGCTGGTGGCTCTACTACATGAGCCATAGCTTCCCTTGTAGCTTTTTGGTAGTTAATTAGAGATAAGAGTCTCACAGACTTTCCCACTTAGACTGGCTTTGAACTGTGATCCTCAGATCTCAGTCTCCTGAGTAGCTAGAATTACAGGTGTAAGCCATCAACATCTGGCTGATTTCCTTTGTACTGCATCAAAATAGACCAGTGACTTTGAATCTACCTCAAGAAATGTTTTGAGCCTGGATTAAATCATGCAGGAGGAGAACACAGTACAGTTCAAGGCAGAAGCATTAAAGATATAAATGGGAAACATTTAAAATTTTAAGGACCAATGGAACATTTTAGTGATTGCTTAACCGTTTTACTTGGGTAATTTATGTTATAACATAAATTTTATTATTTTAATAACATATGTTCAGGTAATCATGCCTCAAAATCAAGACTTTCTGTAAAATTATCAAACAGGAAACAACAAACATCATATTAGCATATGCAAATTGACGTTTAACTGCCAAGTTGGGAACATGTCATCCTTTATTAAAACAACCTTTATTAAAAAGAACTTTGGGCTTTTTATTTTTTCATTGTAAAGATACTGTACAGAAGGGTTACAATTACGTGACACTTTGGGCTTTTTAATATTAGATAATATTTTTCATTTATAGTTATGAAAAACAATTATCTATTTTCATTATATATATATGGTGATGCATTCATTTGAAATATTTGCAATTGTAAAAAAAAGGGAATCCTCACAGATGTTTAGCCTTTTCTCCTTTACTATTACTGTGTATAAAGTGTTTTTAAATTTCATTTCATTATTAAATTTATATACTCTTGTTTTGTAATGATATCTGATTTCTAGAATAACTGACACGTATTAATCACCATTTCACAGGTGACACTAGTGGATGGGCGACCATATTTGGCACAGTCCATGGAAATGTAAATAATGTGACATTAACACAGGAGTGCTGTAAGTGCTATTGGTTCAAAGACAGTTATCAGCTTCGCAAAAAACATCATTTGTGGTGCATGGATTTCTCTAAGAACATTAGTGCCCTCTTCTCTGTGGTTTTACTGGCAACAACCTTAACTGCAGTCTAAACATATTAAATGAATGTTTTTGAGGGGCTGGGATGTAGTTCAGTGGTTAAAGCACTTGCCTACAATGTATGAGAGGCTCTGGGGTTTGAGCCTCAGCACCTTAAAAATGATAACAATAATCATCTTTTGAGAGACAGCTCACATCCACTTAACTTTTATAACTGTAGATTGTTATAATTGTGCTATTTTATTATTAACTTTTGTCACTCTCTCACAGGATGACTTTATAAATTAAACTTTATCACAGGTATGCATGCATAGGAAAAACCAGTATGTATAGAGTTTGGTGCAGGTGTCTGGTGTAAGTCTTGGGGTGTATTCCTTGTAGATAAGGGGGAACTACTGTGTGTGGTATGATAAACTCCCTTGGAACCAAGGTCAATTTCTGTTCACTGCGTTTCACTGCCTATCTGGTCTCCTATCAGCCTGTACTGAAAAGATAAAAGAAAACGATCATCTCCATGATTCTAATTTTATATGTTGTTTTGGGATTACAAAAATTATAACACAGTAAGTTTCTTATTCCCTTTCATTTCTTTCTTCAATGAAGTTATCAAGCTCTCAATCCTTTCTAGACCCTATGCTGATGTCTTAACCCACCAATACCTCACAGTAGAGCAGGAATGCCAGACCTGTGTCTCACAAGGGAACATGGAAGCTCACTGGAAGAAACCATGGTTTTACAAAAGATGGAAAAGTAGTCCCCAAGGAGATGACTTTGAGACAAACTTAAAAGTCCTGGGAAGGAAAGAAATGTACATATCACCCGATGTGGAAGAAATCACTGTATTGTCAAAGCTCATAGAACTCATAAATTTTATAGAGCATGATAGAGACAATTTGCCCATGAAGGTTAGAATGTGTTTGTGACTTTAACTAAGTATCACTATCCCACAATACTGTGAAATTTATGTAATCACTTAATCACCATAAAAAATTGCTATTAAAACAAACCTAATGATTAAAAAAAGTCCTTGGAAGGCTGGGTGCTAGTGGCTCACACCTGTACTTGTAGCTACTCAGGAGGTTGAGATCTGAAAACTGCATTTCCGAGTCAGCCCAGGCAGCAAAATCATATCCCAATTAACCACTAGAAAACCAAAAATGAAGCTGTAGCTCAAAGTGGTAGAGCACTATCTTTAAGCAAAAAGAGCTCAGGGACAGGGTCCAGACCCCTACCAACAATTTAAAAAAAAAGAGGCCTTGGAGGGAGAGAGGAAAAGAGGTCAAAGGGAGAGGAGGGGAGATGATCATCAACACATTGGGGTAGAAGGTTTAGCACCCACTAAACAATGTACCTTCATATCTATGCTGAGATTCTGAGGTCCAAGGACAGAAGCCAAGCCAGAAAGCTGGGTCCAGCCCTTAAAGAACTGGGGGTACATACTTTGAAATTTGGGCTTATGTGTACTGAAGTATGGCTCAAGGGTTAGAGTGTTTGTTGAGCAAGTGTTTGGCCCTGAGTTCAAACCCAAGTACTACCAAAAGGTAACAATGATTGGGTTCTTGTATGTGGGTATATAAGTATAAATAAATTAAACTATTGCCTAAGTTCATGCAATATTAGCATATTGATAAATACATGTGTGCATATTACAAATAATATACCACACTAGCAGATTTATACCTTAGCATATGCATAAATATATGTGTGTATATAATAATATAATATATACTCTAATATTATATATTATAAAATATTCTATTATGATAAAATTACAAATTATATATTATATATTTATTAACATAAAATATAAAATTTTATATATAATATATTTTCTATATTGTATATAATTACATAATGGTATTATATTATATTACATTATTACATTATAATATCACTATGTAATATGTTATAATATGATATAAAATATAATATTATATTATACATAATATTATAATACTACTACATGAACAATATATAGCAGTCCTCTGGTATTCCCAATTTCACAAATGTGGATTTGACCAGCTACAAATAAAAAATATTCTGGCTACATGCTGGGGACTCAAGCTTGTAATACTATTCAGAAGGCAGAGATCTGAAAATCATGGTTTGAAGCCAGCCTGGACAGAAAAGTCTGTGAGATACTTACCTCCAGTTAACCAACAAAACCTGAAAGTGGAGTTATGGCAAATGGCCATTTAAAAAAAAGCTCAACAACAGCACCCTGGCCCTGAGTTCAAGACTCCATATCAAACAAAAGTAAATTGCATCAGTGAAATTTTATAGACTTTTTGGTTTAGCCATTAGTTCTTAGGCCATGAATAGTATAACATTAGTATATAATGTAATATGTGATGTACTTTACACACCATTTACATTCTATTAAATAATATAAGCAATCTGGAGATGATTTATAGGGTACAGGAGGACATGTATGGGTTACACACAAATATTACAATATTACACTATTTCAGAGAAGGGACTTGGACTTGTGTAGATGTATCCATGGAGATCCTGGAGCCACTCTCCCTCACAAACCCAGAGAAGATTGTACTATGCACATTATAATACAACTCATTTGTGGGATCCTTAATTATATGTACATATAAAATATATATAGATTATATAAAATATAGAATTATAGAAGTAGGGAATGTATAAAATTAGGAAAATATAAAAGGATAAAGTCTAAAGATATATCTAACTAAAATTGCCCATTTATTTTTCCTTTATGAACCACAAGAGTTTTTCTGGCACACACACACCATTTTGTAGCCTGCCAAAATACATAAAGGACAATTTTACAGGCTTTGTTTTCTACGGGTTTGAGTTTTTTCTTTTCTTTTACTTTTCATGGAAAGAGGGTGGACACATGGTCAGAAGTGAATGAAAGAAAGCCGCAAGCAGAACGCATTTGTGAGCACCACTCTGGAGTGACAGTGTTGACAGATGTGATTGTCCCAGCTAGAAGTGGGCAGGTGGCTGTGGCATCTAGTGGGTAGAGGTCAGCGATGCCCTTGATCATTCCACAGCACACATGCCTGCCCCCACAGCAAAGTACCATCTGGGCCAAAATGCAAAGCATGCTGACCCAGCAGAGAGAGTGATGCAGGAGATATTATGTTTAGTACAAGGCTCCACGTAAACATCAACAATCACTCCAGAACATGCCATTGGCAATGGCAGAGAGAGAGAGAGAGGTGTAAGAAAACTTTCAGAAAACCCACAGAACGTGGGGGCAGGCTGACTTGCAGAAGAAAGAATGTGAAAACTTAGACCCACATTGCTGATTTTAGGCAACATGCCAACTTGACCTTAGAAAATTCTTCTATCAGCAACTAGAACTTTCTAACCAAAGTCCTCAATCTAATAATATTCTCAATAGCAATGTACATCTAAGTAAACCTATTAATACTATCTTTAAGTGGTTCAGCTAATTATCATAGAGAAGGGACTTGGGCATGTGCAGATGTATACATGGACATCCTGGACCCAACAGACAATAATATATATACATAATATATGTAATTTATATTGTCCTATGGACAATACAAACTATTTTCAGGAACTTTATAAAATAAAAGCATCTTTTGTGTTAGGTAGGTATTCAATAATTACTGCTGACTTTACTGCTACAATTTATCAAAATTTATTTTTAAAATAACACTCATCAAGCTGCATGCTGGTAGCTCACACTTATAATCCTAGTTAAACAGGAGGCTAAAATCTGAGGATTCCCATTTGAAGACAGCCTAGGCATAAAAGTCTGTGAGACTCTCATCTACAATTAAGCACCAAAACACTGGAAGTGAAGTTGTGGCTCAAGTAGTAGAGAATCAGCCTTAAGTGACAAAGCCAAGTAAGAGCGCAAGGTCCTGAGTTCAAGCTTCAGTAGTGGTACAAAATAAAAAAATACAAGGATAATAATAATAATAATAAACTTGTCTAAAACTGGCATAAAAGAAACAGGGCAGCTGGGAAAATACTTTAAAAATCACAGTTCAATAAGAAGAATAGGTGGACACTGACACCTGTAATCTTAGCTACTCAGGAGGCTTAGGTCAGATATGGTGGCACACATTTGTAATACTAACACTGGTGAGGCAAAGGGGAAGGATCACAAATTCATGGCCAACTTGGACCACATAGTGAGTCCACATAGTGAGACAGGGAATTAATTCACAGTGAATTAATTCACTGATCAACTAAGTGGAAAAATTAAAATAAAAATTCCCCAAAATAGTTTCTGTTCACATATCTCTTATTTTTCCTCACCTGACACATACATTCATGCATGCTAATGTATACACACACACACACACACACACACACACAAGGCACACCCACACACTGTGTGATGGTCCTATGACCTGCTTGGCCTTGTTTCTCAATGTAGAGTTCTTACTCATTTTTAGCCTATTCATAATTCTTTAAATTCCCTTTATCTTTCTTCTGAATGCCCTTTTCTCACTTGCACAGTTTCTCCACAACTTTCCATTTCCAACTTGATGATGATGAAAAGCCAAGGCCCCACAAGGAAAGGTGGTCTGACTAGATCAATTTTAATAAGGTTCCATAGTAGCTGTGGCCAAACTGGCATCGAGTCTTTCATAGCTTTAAGTTTGGAAGGTAGAAAAATCCGAATTAAGTTTTAGCCAACAAGAGAAATGTATACGTATTCAGCAACTACTTTGTTCTATTGAATTAACCCAATCACTGTTGTTACTGTTTTTTTAAGCATGGTAATGTTTTTCTTTGAAGAAAACTTAGTCCTGTTTCACCATAAGGCTTTAAGCTATTTGAGCATGTCTTTTTTTTCTGTTTTTCTACCCACATGCTGAATCCAACATGACCAGTGGAAGCTACTACATTAATGTCTATACTTGATTAAGAGGGAGTTCTTATTTGTTTTTAAGATGGGCTAAATAATTCTATGTAACATACTGCTGAAAAGCAGATAGTGTGATTATTATAAAGTCATAATTAAGAAATGTCTTTTTTTAGTAAATTCTACTTCTTTTGCCCCTAGTTCTAAACCAGTACCCACAACACTGTTACTGCAAGGAAACTGAATTGGAATGCATAAAAGCTGATTTAAAATCGGTGCCAACAATTTCCAGCAACGTGACATTACTGTGAGTAGAATATATCTGTGTGTTCTCTGCCCCAAAAGTCACATAGAAACTGGAGAAAACTCAGGTCATTGGTATGAAAGAGTCATACAAGCAAAATAAATTCCTTTTAAAACCAGTCATCAAGCCAGGTGCTAGTGGCTTATACCTCAGTAGGGTGACATCTGGAGGACTGAAGTTCAAAGCCAGCTCAGACAGAAAATTCCAATAGAATTCATCTCCAATTAGCCAGAAAACTAATTTCTGGGCTGGAGACATGATACAGCGCTAGCCTGCTCACAAATACTGATGTTCAGTGCAAAATTATGTATGGCTTTCTGATTTTTACATTGTTAATAATATTCTTGTGGTTTTAAAACAACACAAAAAGGAAACACACTTATCACATTTACAGCAGCTCATTTTCATATTGATCGTTCACCTGAGACTGCAAAGATATAAACTTTCTGTGAAGCTATTTGTGTTTCATTATAAAAATTTCTGTACATGTAGCCCAAAACTTTTAAGAGCCTCGGGGAAGTTCAAGCACATCCTCATTTGGGCATTTCTTGAGTTCATTAGGATCTTCGATTATTTGAGTGTTGTTGTTGCTGTATTTTGTTAAATTATAGAGTTAAAGGCAAAGACAAATCACTATAGACTTTCCAGTCTAGTATGCTAAGTGGCTACACTTGTCAAATATTTGCAAGCTGCAATCAGGAGATCCAGGAGGGACAACTTACCTAATCATGGTTCCAGGTGATTGTAATGGAGCTAATTTCCTTTGTCTAGCCATTTAACAACATAGCAGAACACTTACTTGTATTTACAGTGTTGACAGAATGAACAAACCTTGTGTGCTGCCAATCATGTGGAAATAGAACATGCACAATCATGTACACTACACAATATTTCATAATAATTATTAAAATGGTTAGTGGATTATACATTTGTTGTAATTATACTTTTTGTGGGTGCCAGTCCTGGGGCTTCAACTCAGGGCCTAGGTGCTGTCCCTGAGCTTTTTGGTTCAAGTCTAGTGCTCTACCACTGGAAGCTCAGATTCCAGCTTTATTATATTTTTGGTAGTTAATTGGAAATAAGCGTCTCATGGGCTTTCTTGCCTGGACTGGCTTTGAACCATAACCCTCAGATCTCAGGCTCCCGAGTAGCTAGGATTACAGGCATGAGCCACGGGCACCGAGCTATGTAATTCATTTTTATCATCATTTATTTTGTCAGTCATTGGGCCTGAACTCTGGGCCTGGGCACTGGCCCTCAGCTCTTCAGCCACAGTGCCACATCCAGCTTTTTCTGCTTATGTGGTGCTGAGGAATTGAACCCAGGGCCTCATGCATGCAAGGCAAGTACTCTACCACTGAGATACCTTCCCAGGCTTTATAGTATTCATTCTATTTGTTCTGAAATGTTTACTGAGAAGCATTTTCTATACAATAGCTCATACACCTTACTACATAAAGTATACCAAATGGTATTCACAAAAAATTTGTCTATAATGTATTTTTAGAGTATGTTCCATGCTTAGACAGCACATAACTGCACTTCCATTTGCTTTTTATTCGCCCATCAAACCCTTTCAGTTACTGCCATGTTCAAATGTGTATCACTTATCACAGATGTGGCTATAGGGAAGACGCTGGTTCCCCCATGAAAATCCATAATCAAGTCTGCTCTGAATCTTATTTTAGGTCTCTTAAAAAAAACAACATCCACAGACTTCCAGATAGAGTTTTCATCAAATACAAAGAACTCAAAAAACTGTAAGTAGTTATTAATAGTGGGTGTTTTTATGGGAAATTCCTTGTCATGTTTTTGTTTGAGGGTTATTTTTATAAATATATAAAATGTATCAAGTTTATCATTTTAGATTTGTGGGCTTAACATTAAAAATAAGCCAGGCACCAGTGTCCCATGCCTGTAGTTACTCAGGAGGCTGAGATCTGATAATCATGGTTTGAGCCATCCCAGACAGAAAAATATATGAGACTATTATCTCCAATTAACCATCAAAAATCTGGAAGCTGAACTGTGGCTCAAGTGGTAGAGTGCTAGCCTTGAGCAAAAAACTCAGGGACAGCGCCCAAGACCTGAGTTTAAGCCTCAGGATCAGCACACAGACACACTGATAAACACACATACACACACATGAAGAATAATAATACATTTATAATGCTATGCTTTCATTTTATAATTTAACACAGCTGAACTGATTTTGGTTTGGACATGTTTATAGAGTTAATATGGAGTCAAAGTAAAATATCTGAGAAAGAAAATTCACAGTTTCACATTCTTCCTTAAGATGATTTGAAAAGTGGCATTATTTGTTCTAGATGTACTTTTTAATTTGGCAGAACAGGGAAAGTATAGGTGAGAACAATCAGATCCTTTATAACACAAAATAATGCTAAGACACAGATTGACCCCCAGTAAAATGGAAGGAAAAACATAGCAATAGTACAAACAGTGATGTTAGCATTTCTAAAGAAGGCAAACCTTGGCAAATAGTGCGTCACAGCAGATAGGAAATGGCATTCACTGAGGAACAAGATGCTAAGATGCTTTAAGCATCTAAGAAAGACAACCAGGGTCTGGGGGAATGAATCATGGATTTCCACAGTTTTCAAGGACTATCTTTTGATACGATCCATATGCCGTTGCTTTGATATTTTACTCACCAAGCAACTTCATGATGATTCATTTGTAACTTGCTAGTATTTTGAACTTAGGGCCTTGTGCCTGCTAAGCAGGTGCTCTACTACATGAGCCACAATGCCAGATTAACTTTCTAATGTTTTGTACTGCATATGTGGAAAGTTACATTAGACCAGGAATAAAAGTATTCCTACCACAGGAATAAGATGTGTCCTATTCATACTAATAAAAAGAAAATATACAAGTTCATGGATGAGCCCTTTGTAAAGTGGGGTAGTATCTGCCAGCCCTTCTGAGCCCTAAAGAAGCTATACCCACCACGAGACCAATAGACTAGGTTAAAAAAAATCAGGGTACCATTGAAGTTACTGGAAAGTCATTGGTAGGGCCACTGTCATTCAACATCCAGCATCCTAGAACCACCATCATTGCTTCTCTTTTCATCTAAATTAAGTACAGGGTCTCATAAACAAGAAAAGAAGGCTACAAGGTAGTGTGTATGGACACAGATGTTCAGCCTTATGTGGGTTTGATTATCATCTCTGTATTTCTAGCTTCATCCTGGAGTATGTGGTCATGATATCATTATCACCCTACAGTTAACTACACATTGCCTCTGGGCTTCCCAGCTTCTTTAGAGAGGAAATTTTAACCACAGAGCTTCTAATCTTCCTAGAAACTATTTAAATAACCACATGTTCATTCTATGAATCCGTATTATGTTTGCACTACCTGGATAAAGCACAAGGAAGAAATAAAATCGCACTCACAAAGAAAAGTAAAGGACAAGGTTCTGGTTTTAGAGTAGTCCTTTAAATCCTAGGTTTCACCTTTTTGTTGCTATAGCAAATATCTGAGATAATTTATAAAAAAAGAGAAAGGGTTGTGCTGGGAAGGTGGCTCAGTGGTAGATTGCTTGCCTCACATGCATGAGGCCCTGGGTTCAATTCCTCAACACCACATAAGCAGAAAAAGCCAGAAGTGGCGCTGTGGCTCAAGTGGTAGAGCGCTAGCCTTGAGCTGAAGAGCTGAGGGACAGCGCCCAGGCCCAGACTTCAGGCCCCACGACCGACGAAAAAACAAAAACAAAAAGAAAGATTTATTTTTGGCTCCACGCCTTGGAAGTTTCTGTTTTTAATTAGTTGGCTCCATTGCTTTGGGCCTATAGAAAGGCATGTAGTAGAGCAGGGCCTCTCACCTCATGAGCAAGAAGCACAAGCAAAAGAGGAGGAGAAAGTGTGAATCCGGCTATCTAAGGCCCACCCCAATGGCCTGAGTACCTCCCACTAGGCTCCACCTCTGAAAGGTTCCACCACCTCCCAATAGAACCACATGGAGATTCAAGCCTTTCATACAGGCCTTTGAAGGGTGAGGGATGTTTAAGACCCAAATGATAGCAAATTTTATCTACGTAGTACCATAGAAGTTGTAAGAATTAGGTCTTCTTCCTACACATGAGTGAACTAAAGTAGGCTATGGCTAAATGATCTTTTACCATGACCATTACATAGGATATACAGCTAGTTAGGGGGAAAGTCACAATCAGAACCTACATCTTCCGATGCCCGAGATAATACTTAGATGGAGAGGAATTCTGTAACTTTTGTTCTTTCATTTTGGGGAAGGATGATCTCTGGGTAGGCAGAGAGGTCACTGAAGTATCAAGCAGAAGAGGTAAAATTACATTTCTCAGGATAAAATCCTTTACTGTCCATACTCAATCCTTTGCTACTGAAGAGAATAATATAGAAGTACCTTGATCATTCAAGGACCGAAGTTTACTTAGTGGAAATAAAAAGGTAGAGATTAATCTTCCTTGCAAGATCAAACTATACAGCAATGGGGAAATCATACTAAGACAGCATAGAATTTAATATTAAGTGAGCTGCCAGCCCGGAATGTTCGAAGCACCCACAGTGATATTGAAGTCACTTAGACATTTTCTGGGAGAAAATTTAAAAAAATCCTAAGTGAAATTTATAGTTTAATTGCCAGACAAATAAATATTGCTTAATTGATATGAAATTTTTTACTATTTGATCAATTTACTCATTTTAACAACCCTTTAAAAATGTCAGGATTTTCTAAAGTGGGAAAGGAAAAAGCAATTTCCGATGACCTTTCAGAGAAATAAAGCACAATTTATGGGGTTGACCATAATACTTTATCACTGTTACCATGGAAACCAGCCATGGTTCCTCCTCCTTAGCGTAACACGAACCTTATATAAATTAGAAATTTCTCCTTAAACTGAGTTCTTGTTCAATGCAATTATTGGCAACAAAACATAATTCAAGGTATCTGCCTCACTCTGGAATATAAAATGTCATATTTTAAAAAAAATAGCCTCTACATAGGCATTTATTTGCTTTAGTAATTCAGGTATATAAATTCCTGGTGTTTCTGCTTGAAAAGTTCTGACAGCTGAAACAGCAGGAATTCACAAACCCAGTAAGTTATTCTTAGAAAAGCCATTCGGTGTGAAGTATATGAACTGGGCTCCTATCTCAGCTTTGAATACAAAGAGGGCAGCACTTGCCAAATTGTCATGTTTCCAGATTTCCCCGTATGCTCTGAACACTACTACGCTGCAGAGAAGAAAGCTGATACCGAGGATGGAGTTTAAGTTTAGTAACCCACAGCAGACACCTGAGACGGGAGCTGCAGGTCTCTCTTCTGTGGGAGCCAACAGCTAAAGAGAGGCCTAGAGGCTCTTATTTAACCCACTTAAGTCTTAAGTGGTGTCAGTGAAGGGCATAGTTTGTACACATCTGACGAGTCATGCAGCTCTCTGATTTTCCTTCAGTAAGACAAAAACACAAGGTCAAATTCACAATTTGCAACTTCTTCAAGGTCAATGGGCTTTGAGTTTCTTAATTCGTCATCTCAAAGAAAGTGTAAAGCGCATTAGATAGTGAATTTTTAGATTTAAGAGACATTTCAGTATGCCTATACTGTAACATCATATTCTTTTTCTAGTCTCCTTTGCTATGGTAACTTAATTCATCATATTAACTTGCTTTACATTAGTCCAGGGACTCTAAAAGTACCAAAATACAAATACTGAACTGTGTGCAGAAGCATGATTTATGCTGCAGTGTGAAGTTATCTCCTCACAGACATGGTACGAGGTGGAGGGGGAGATGAGGGGCGAGGCTATAAGGTCACACTGAGTTTCCACTTGACTTTGTCAGATTGAAATGGACGCTTTGTTTGGATGCTCTGCAGTGCCAATATCTTCCACATGGTGGCGTAACAGAGAAAAATAGAGTTTTTATATGGAGCTCAGTCGTGTGTGTGTGTGTGTGTGTGTGTGTGTGTGTGTCTTTTATTGTTGAAATACTGTACAGAGGGGTTACAGTTACATAAGTAAGGTAATGAGTAAATTTTTCTCTCAAGCATTTTTACCTCCTCCTTTATTTTTCCCCTACCATTCCCTCCCTTCCCACCTCCCCAACTCCTTCCTCCCCTCACCCCGAAGTTGTAAAGTTGGTTTTCAACATAGTGCCTTGTACATTTCATTGTTACAATGGGTCAACATGTAATCTTATTTCGGCATTTTGTTATTTCCCTTCCCCTCCCCAAATTAGAAAAATATATATACAAGATTCAGGGCACTGACATCAAATACAGTGAAAACAGGGGTTATACCATGGGGGAAGAACATATAAAAGAAACAAAAAAATCATATAGTACATTTTAAATATGTTAAAAACAATAGCAAGAAAGAAAAGTCAAGTTGTGTCCCTATCTTGGGGGTTATTTCACTTAACATCATCTTATATGGCATTACGTACATAGCTTTTGACCTTTTCTGCTTGTCCTAGACTTATACTAGTTATTGCAAATAAGGGAAACCATGCGACCTATGTTTCTTTGGGCCTGGCTTACTTCATTTAGTATAATTTTTTCCAAGTCTTTCTATTTCCTAACAAATGGTAGCCCTCAGTCTTAAAAATGACACCTTGAATGGCTTTACCTGGCTAAAGGATGTCAAAAATCTTCGAACGTTTACAGTATATTCATTCCCCTCCAAAAATGGCTGGGAAGTTCTATTATAGCATAAAACTAAATTAAAAGTTCAGCTAAGAGCTGGGTGCTAGTGGCTTATACCTATAATCCTAGCTACTCAGCAGACTGAGACTTGAAAGATCAAGGTTCAAAGCCAGACTGGACAGAAAAGTCTGTAAGACTCCATCTCTTATTAACTGGAAAAATGTTAGCCTGGAGGCAGGGCTCAAGCAGTATAGCACCAACTATGAGCAAGAAAGCAAAGTGAGAATGTAGGGCCCCAATTCAAACCTTAATATTGGCACATACAAAAAAAAGAAAATGTGAATTTAAAACTAATCTCTCATTGTATAATGAGGACAAGAAGTAGACATTATTTAATTGGACATTCCTGAGAGTACTATTATTAAAACTGTGTTGTTAAATTGTTTCAGAGTTTGAAGCAAAGCCTGAGCTATAGGTTGCAATAGCATACTATCTCCATTCAACTATGGAGAACCTCATTATACACACTGCGCTTCTTGCATTACATCTTGAATTAGAAAAGAAATCAACCTGGCTCCCTGCTTCATTCATGAGAATAGAATGAAGAGAAATGAACCTGTAAAGGTTTAACCCTAGCTGGGTGCCTGTGGCTAGTGCCTGTAATCCTAGCTACTTAAGAGACTGAGATCTGAGGATCACAGTTCAAAACCAGCCAGGTCAGACAGTCTGTGAAAGTCTTATCTGCAATTATTCACACATAAAAAAACCCAAAACAGAAATGGAGGTGTGGCTCACATAGTAGAGTGCCAGGCTTATCAGCCTTGGGGGAAAAAAAAAAGCCTAAAGAATAGCATCCAGCCCCTGAATTTAAGCCCTAGTATCATCACACACAAAGTAAGTATAACTCTGCATAGAATATAAAAGTTCAGCAGAAAGATTAGATCTTATCCCTCTTCTCTATCTTCCCTAACTTTAGTGATACCAATCAGAGATGCCCAAACCTCATTGTGCAGTTGTTATGGAGATGCTGTGCAATAATGCACTACTACGTGGCCATCTGACACTCACAGTACCTCTCCCCAAATGTGTGAATAGGACCTTGCACTTTATTTGCCAAGTTCACAAATGGTCTTCAGGGAGAGGAAGTGGCGAGCTCATTCTGAACACCTACAGATCATCATCACCTGACTCTCCTCTCTCATTCCAGGTATCTTCAGAATAACTGCATTAGACACATTTCCAGAAAAGCTTTTTGGGGATTACATAATCTGCAGATATTGTGAGTAACTTCTTAATAAGTATCCTAATAAAACTACCATGGTAAAATGGGGGTTCTATTTGGGAATCAAGACTTTATTTGGTTGTAGAGCCTGGGAGACAAACACAAAATAATTATTACATGGAAAGAATTATACGAGGATTCTGACTTTAGCCAGTAGATTCCACATGTTGACTCAGTTCCAATATTTTAGCATTTGAGATTCTGTCTAACTAATCCTATCCAACTAAATACTTTCTTAAAATATTTCCCTACTACAAATATGACCCAAAATGGCAAACATAAAACATTTCCTATATATTCAGTTATTATAGTATTACTTTAATATGATGTGATATCACCATCCATGAGATTCTTACCTCCAATTAACTACCAAAAAGCCAGAAGTGGAGGTGCCACTCAAGCGATAGAGTTCCAGCCATGAGCCAAAAGCTAAAGGGATAGTACCCAATTCCTGAGTTCAAACCTTAGTACCTCTCTCTCTCTCCCTCCCTCCCTCCCTCCTTCCCTTCCCCCCCCCCACACACACAGCATACCTCTGTACAGAGCAGGAAATTTCAGCAGAGAGGCCAGCTAGTCTCCTAACTCCTTCCAGCCAGAACAAGCAACAGATTTCAGGAAGAAGAGTTGATCAACACTGCTTCTCCTCTCCTGAGTTCAGTGGCACAGAGATGCCCAGACCTCATTGCACAGTTGGAGAAGATACACAATGGCTTGTTCCATAGCCATTCTGCATGCACAATGCCAGTACTAGGGCTTGACCTTTTGAAGCACTCACTTGCTCAGCTTGCTTACTCATGGCTGGTGCCCTACTACTTGAACTATGTCTCCAGTTCATCATGTTTGATCATTAACTGGAGATTTAAAAATCTTTCAAAGTGTGTCTGCCTGTGCTGGCTTGGAGTTGCAATCCTCAGATCTCAGATTCCTGAGTAGGATTTAGGAGTGAGCCACCTAGCCCCAAAACATTATTTGGGGCCATTTCCCTGTGCTAACTACAGTGTCACATTCACAAGACTTACAGTTTCAGGAGCCTCTGGGTCACCTTTGATACTACTCTCAGCTTCTCAGCAGACGGTTTTCAGAAGTAGGCATCCATAATCCACAAAAGGCTAACTGTAAGCCATTCACACCGAACAATGAGTTTGCCTAATTCATCACCCATGCTATTTGTAGATATCTCAACCACAACTGTATTACAACTCTCAGACCTGGAGTATTCAAAGACTTGCATCAGTTAACTTGGCTGTAAGTATGCTTGCTTTTGTTTTCCCCCATTAATGGTCATAGGATCAGATTGTGTGTGTGTGTGTGTGTGTGTGTGTGTGTGTGTGTGTGTGTGTCTGTGTGTGTGTACTGAGATAGGATCTCACTGTATAGCCTCAAGCTCAGCTTCCACAGGCTAGGGGTAGTGGCATGGTCTGGCTTTCATAATCTCCACCATATACAAGAGCAATGCTCAAATATTTCCCACACTGGAATGTGTCTTTGTATGTTCTACTTACATTTCTGATTGACATAGAATCTGGAGCATTTTACCCAAGTAATTGGGACAATGGAATATCCAGCAGTGGTTGGTCTAAGGAAAGGAAATTCTTTATGCTTTTTCTGGGGGAGAAATTCTGCACCTCACAGTGGCCTTGCTAAGCCAGACAGCCATTCTAATACCCAGGGGTCACCTGGAAAAGGATTCCTCAGCCTCAACACTATCCACATTTGTGTGTGCTGATCCTAGAGCTTGACAGCGTAAGGTTTGGTTTTTTGTTTTCTTTCTCAAGGCTGGTGCTCTACCACTTGAGCCACAGGTCTATTTTTGGGATTTGGAGGTGGTTAGTTGGAGGCAACAGTCTCATAGACTTCCCTGCCTATCTGGCTTTAAACTGTGGTCCTCAGATCTGAGCTTTACAGACAGGAGCTACCAGTGCTTGGCAGTATTCTCATTTTGACTCACTTAATTCTTGCTTCTGGGAAGGCAGCCCTGTGCATCTGAGGCTGTTGTGTACTATGTATGCCCTCTACCTCACACTAGCTACTGGAGTGTACTCCCTCCTTAGAGAACTGTGACAACTACCGCTGTCTTCACACTTTGCCAAGTGTCCGCTGGGAGGAAATAACTGCCCTCTGTGGGAAACGACTGATGGAGAACATAAACAAGTTTAAGGAATTGCTCTTATTGCCAGAGCGTTCAGAGACACTGCTCTGGGAAGGTGGTAACTCATAGCATTTTCAGTCTCCAGCTGAGCCAGCAGCTCCAGTTCCAGGATCTTACCTCAGCTCCCTCTGCTCTCCCGAGACAATGAGCAACTGGCTTAGTGTCAAACTGCAAGAAGGTTCTGTGTCACTCGGCTCTTCAGAAGCATGTTGGCCTAGACTAGCCACAAAAGCCAGGATTTCAGCTTGGTCTAGACTCTGTGTGTGCCTGACTCAGACAACATCTCTAGTCTTTCAAGGCCTCTTTCTTTCTTATCTGTAGGCTGGAATTATAATTCTTTTCAAAGAAAGATGTTGTGAGAATTAAGTCACATAATGTAAGTGCCACCTGCAGAGCTCCTAGCACATAGCAAATACTCCTCCATGTAACTCCCTTCTCCCCATCTTCCCATCCATAATCTGAGATAAAGACAGGAAACAGCACTTGACTTCAGAGACAATAAGAGAGAAGGATACTCATTTCTCTATCTAATATCTTCTACCAAAAAAAAATGCCAGGAGTAGTTTATAACAGTGGATTCGGTATAAATATGTGTACTCTTTCCATTGGAAAGCTCCTAATGCATGGGTTAAAAAAAAATCTACCCATCCATCTGTACAGATGTTACGGAATGTACCATTGAAGAACCATGAGCTCAAAGAGCCAGGTGGGATTATCTAAGAATTACATTTGCATGCAGCCTTCAGTCCCTCAGCAAGGCAAAGCATTTGTGTAGCCCACAGGCAGCCAGTAAGTACAGCTCATAAGGTGGATGTAGGGAGAGAAAGCAAACAATCAGGATCCAATCTGGTGAGTGCTGAGGTGGGCGTTAGAGTCGTTGAACAGCCCTAGGATGAAGCAAAGGCCTTCGAAAACAGAGACAAGAAAATCAGCCACAAACAAACACTTGAAGGATGGGCCAGGTATTGGGAGAGGCAAGATTGTCATGGGCCTTTTGTTTTCTTTTCCTGGTTTTATTTCAGAAATCTAACATTGGAAATGTTTTTTGGTATGTTTTGTCAGAATTCTGGATGACAATCCAATAACCCGAATTTCACAGCGATTATTTACTGGATTAAATTCCTTATTTTTTCTGTAAGTATTCACCTGTTCCTCTACAAATCACCATGACATCTAACACTAACTTCCAGAAAAGGTATTTGAAAAATAGTATATTAAATCCAGCTGGGTGCTATGGCTCATACCTATAATCCTAGCTACTCAGGAAGGTAAGACCTGCGGATCACAGTTCAAATCCATAAGCCTCTTATCTCCAATTAACCAGCAAGAAAGCCAGAAGTGGAGAGCCAGTAGCTCACATGATAGATCACCAGCCTTGAGCTAAAAAAGCAAAGGGTGAGTTAAAGGCTCATTACCTGCACAAAACAAACAAAAATATTAATTCCACCAAATTGTTTATTACTCGTAACCTTTCCTGTGTTTTCAGCCATATTTAGTATTGCTACTTCCTGGCCACAGATTAAAGAGAAGAATGGGCTGTATTATAATGCATATTTTAAGTCTAGTAATTCATTATTTTTATCCCCTTTAATTTCTTAAAATCCAATGTATGTTTGGAGTGGCTAACCAAAGATTCATTTTTATATCATGATATCCTACCTATACTTAAATCTGTTAGAATCTCCTAGGAGGTTGGCTCCAGCTTCATTTTTTTTTTTACATTTTTTTCCAGGGGTGGGGGAGGCAGAGGTTATACCTATTGACAACACTGGGGCTTAACTTAGGGTCTGGGCACTAAGCATTAGCTTTCACATTCAAGGATAGCACTCTACTATTTGAGCCACAGATATACTTCTCGAGGCTTTGTTGGTTGATTGGAAATAAGAATAGCTCAACTTTCTTGTGTAGCTTGGCTTAAAATTGCAATCCTCAGAGCTAGGATTACAGGCCTGAGTCCCTTGGCATCCAGCTCCAGTTTCATTTTTAACAGAGGAAATGTGTAGTTTTGTCCTATGAAAGTCACCAAAAATTCTAAAAATCTCTATCCTACCATCAAGGCTATTTTCATCATTGTATATTCAGTGTTTATTAATGTTCCCAAATGATTTATCCACAGGGAATTCTTATTTTCTTTTATAGTTGATCATGAAGCATCATTATTTTCCTACTTGTCAGAAAGAACTACAATATCATAAATTAATTGTACAGCATAAAATGCTCATGAGTTGTTTTCCTTCCCTCTGATTCATCCTGCTGTCACTTCTTAGATTTAGTGCAGTTCCAATGTGGTCCTTTAATGTTACAAATGATTAATGGTGCCTCTAAGAAGGAATGTTTGATATATGGAACTGGAAATAATTGCAAACTTCAGTTGCACGAGAATTAGCATGAACTTCAAATTTGAACTTAATATACAGTCTTGTTTCAGCTCATAAAATTAAACTACATAATGCTTATTCTTAGGATGTATTTCATGGTTTTACACTCATAGTTTCTTTGTTATCATCTGTTCCTCAGTCCTTGCTATAGTTAATGGCCATTCGGAAGGAGTAACTATGTATATATGCTTTACCCTAATATATTAGGTTCAGCATGTAAGTTTCAAGTTGTGTTATAATAACAAAGACTGCTCTGAAAGTGGCACATGATTTTTGTTTCTAATGAATATTTTCTTTGTCTGAAGATCTATGGTTAATAACTACATAGAGGCCCTGCCTGAACAGATGTGTGCCTATATGCCTCAACTCAATTGGATGTGAGTATTCCTTTATAATTTAATGTTTATTTGTCCAGCTTAAGGAAACTAGCCCTAAATCTAGTTCAAGATTACCTTAAAAAAACCTATCTACAAGTTGGGTCCCCATGGTTCATACCTATAATCCTAGGTACTAGAGGTTAAAGCCTACCTAGAGGACTAAGGTTTGAAATCAGCCATGAGCAAGAAAGCTGAGACAGTAAAATGCCCTGAGTTCAAGCCTGATACATGATCATAAAAATTTTAAAAACCTGTGATTCCTTTCCTAAATTAAGTCCAGTTATGTTGCTTTCTGGTTTAACTATCCTTTGAGGGGGCTGAAGATAGTAGTTTCCACCTGTAGTCCTAGCACTCAGAAGACAGAGGCAGGAAGATCAAGAGTTCAAGGCCAGGCTGGGCAGCATAGCAAGATCTTATTCCAAAAGAAAACCAAAAAAGAAGTGAAAAAAGTAATAGCAAATAAATAATTATACATATAAGAAAGAAGGAGTCAGATACCATTGACTCAAGTTACTCAGGAGGCTGAGATGTGAGGACTGCAGTTAGAAGCTAGCCTGGACAAGAAAGTCCTTGAGCACCAACCTTCAAGCAAGCACCAAAAATCCAGAAGTGGAGGTTTAGTTCAAGTGATAGAGTGCTAGCTTTGAGCGTTTAAGCATAGGAACAGCATCCAGACCCTGAGTTCAAGCCCCAAGACCAACACACACACACACACACACACACACAGAGAGAGAGAGAGAGAGAGAGAGAGAGAGAGAGAGAGAAACAAAAGAACAGGGAAGCATCAGGCCATAGCCTTGTCTTCCTCCCACAATGATTAACAACAGCAAGAGCAGCAAGTAGCTGGGAATCAGCATCGGAGCCCCTGGCTGCTAGAATGCTCATTTTCACCCTAAGCTCCAGCAAACACTGGAGAAAACACAGATGGTGAATGAAAATATAATTAGTTAGTTGGCCTGCTTACAAATCAGAAGGGCCCTTTTACTCAGATGATAGGTGAAATGTCAAATCCAAATTGCTCCAACCAAAAGGCACGGGCAAAACCTCCCCCACCAAGCTTTCCCTCTCCCTTAATTTGCCACCCTGTAGAACAATGACTCCAAACTGTTCATCTTGGGAGAATATGAAAAAGTTCTTCCTCGCTCCATTTAGCAGTGATGGACTTCTAAGACAATGCGGTGTTTATAATATGTTTTTGAGGGAACAAAAAAAATACAAGAATCCTACAAGAATCCTCCCAAGATGGCTCTAAAATAGAATTTAAAAGACTGTGGCAAAGGGGTTGGTGTTTTTATTGTGCCCATGAAAGAAGTTGCAAAACAGGAAATACTGCCATATTTGGGGAATACTGTAGTAAGCTGGCTATAAAGAAAAGCTAGAAAGCCAGGTGTGGTGGTACAAGTTGATAATCATAGCACTAAGGACACGGAAGTAGGAGGATCATGAGTTCAAAGCCAGCCCAGGGTACTAGCAAATTTTTGCCACAGGGAGAGAGATCTAAATGTAGATAGTTCATGTCTGCAATCCTAGCTACTAATGAGGCCGGGATCAAACCCAGGTTCAAACGCAGCCCAGGCAGACAAATCTGAGAAGCAGCAAAAAGCTGGAAGTGGAGTGTGGGTTCAAATAGTAGAGTAGCAGCTGTGATTGCAAAAACCTTGATTGTTCTAGGAGCAAAGAGGAAGGAAGGAAGGAAGGAAGGAAGGGAGGAAGGGAGGGAGGGAGGGAAGGAAGGAAGGAAGGAAGGAAGGAAGGAAGGAAGGAAGGAAGGGAGGGAGGGAGGGAGGGAAATTAGTAGGGGAAAAAGACGAGTGTTTCTCATTCTTCCCTGGTTGGCTCTAAGTGAAAATGTTAAGGCTGTGGACAGTCTTTCCTCAATAGGGCGATACCACCTGCTCTGAGGCACTGGGTGGCAGAAAGAAATGTCCCTGACAGTGATTTGGGGAGGCTTTGTTACATGAAAAACCACAGGAGATCTGAGGATGGGGCCACAGCTCTGAATTTCTGATTCAGTAGATCTGGGGTGGAGTCTGAGCATCTGCACTGCAAGCAAATGCCAAGTGGCTCCTAGGCTGCTTCCTGCCACGCTGGGAGCCGGGCTGCATCACTTCACTTCACCAGGATCTGGATTTGTATGTGTAAAATCATTGTGGCTTGAGCTTCTCCATAAAGACCAAAATACCTATGTGCTGTTGATAGGAATATAAGAATACCTATGTGATGCTGATAGGAATGTAAGAATATGGTGGACCGGGACAGTTACACATGTAGGCTTTAGATTCTGAGAGACCCAACTTACAAGAGCAGTTCTGACACTTCCTAGCTGTGTAAACAGGAGAGTGAACCTCCAAACATGGCAATTGCTGGTGCGTTAATGAGGAGAAACCTCAACAGTCCTGCAGGAGTTCTGGGCTGTGCAGGCAGAGAAGCAGTGGGCTGTAAAAGCCCCAGTGGCAATGGTTTAGGATGATCTATCAACACTATAATTAATAGTAGAATGCCCAGTATAAAAACAATCACCTGCCCTTTCCCTCCATTGGATTGTGCTCTAATATTAATTGGGAAGTGAAACATAATATTAATTATGTTAACCTTACAATAATTAGGCACAAAACACTGGAAGCACCGGGCACCAGTGGCTCAAACCTGTAATTCCAGCTACTGAGGAGGCTGAGGTCTGAGGATCACAGTTTGAAGCCAGCTGGGACAGGAAAGTTTATGAGACTCTTATCTCCATAAAGTACTCAGAAAAAAGTGAGAAGTGGTGCTCTGGCTCAAGTGGTAGAGCACTATCCTTGGGCAAAAGAAGTTCAGAGACAGCGCCCAGGCCCTGAGTTCAGGCACTAAAAATAGTTCAGCAAAAAGAAATAGTAAACATTGGAATGAATTAAAAATAAAATTCAGATACTGCTGAGAACAGTGACTTGAGTCTGCAATCCTAGCTACTTAGACATCAGAGATTGGGGAATTGTGGTTTGAGACCAGCACAAGCATAAAAAATGTCCTAAGACTTCCATCTCAATTAATGGCTGGGCATAGTGGCTTGAGCCTGTCAACCCCAGCCACACAAGAAAGTGCAAGTTGGAGGATTACAGTCCAGGCCAGTCTAGGCCAGGCGAGTGTGACCTTCCCTTCAAAATAGCCAACCCAAAAAGGAGATGGAGGCATGACTTAAGTGGTAGAAGACCTGCCTAGGATGCTATAAGTTCAATTTCCACTATCTCCACAAAGTAAATACATACATATATACATGCATGCATGCATATGCAGATATGGCTATTAACAAATCATCTGTAAGCATATGATTTGTGCGAAATTATTCAAAAGTATTTTCCTTTGTGACTTTCAGGGATCTGGAAGGCAATCAAATAAAATATCTTGTGAATTCCACCTTTCTGTCATGCGAGTCTCTCACAGTCCTGTAAGTACACCACAGGCTTTGGTAAATAAAGAAGAAACTCTAGAGACTGGGAAATTCTAAGGAGACATTGGCAATGAACTCTGAAGCTGTGTGTTGTTTACAGCTTTGGTGTGACAGTCCAATACTAGGTATGTGCATTGACTGATTTAGCAATGGAGGTGAGGCGTCAGTTAAGTTGCCCACACTCGGGTCTGTAGCTGGCTGGCTCCTGCTATCTGAGGGCAGTCCTCCTTTCTGCTACCAGAAAGTGCCCATTTCCCATCCACTATCCACACAGCCTGTCTGGGGTACTGAGTGGCTCTTCTTGCCAATGGCTTGATCTCTCTCTGTCTCTGTCTCTGTCTCTGTGTGTGTGTGTCTCTCTCTCTCTTTCAAATAGAACATTACCATTGCATTCTAAAGGTGAAAAAGAAAAGCCAAGTACTGGTGGCTCAGCCCTATAATCTCAGCTAGTCAAGAGCCTGAAATCTCAAGTCTGAGGTTCAAAGCCAGCCAGGGCAGGTTTTGAACTTCAAATTAGCCATCAAAAAGCTGGAAGTGCTCAATAGGTACGGCACCAGCAAAAAAGCTAAGGGACGGCATGTCCAGTTCCTGAGTTCAAGCTCCAGGGCTGGCATAATTAAACAAAATAAAAGAGTAAAGGGGAAATACAAATGTCTCATGTCTTCTAATTGGCTAAAGAGTTTGATTGATGATTCTGGTTGTTGGTTATACTGTGGTAATGGGGTTGGGCAGACAGATTGGTCAATTGGCATGTTTGGTAAAAAATTGAAAACACAAGTATCTGTTTGTTGTCATTGCAGTTTTCCACAGGGAATAAGCACTTGGTAGGGTCTGTCGATGATTGAATGGGTGGTTGGAAAAATAAAAATAAATGGAACAGAAAAGTGAGAGACATTTTCTAAAATAATCAGAATCAAAAACCAACTGTCTAGCCTCCAGGACCAAATTCAATGTCTCAAATTGCTTAAGCAGCACTTCGTGAGAGAAACTGAGTCCCACATCAGGAAAGCCTCCCTTTGAGACTCAAAGGGGGGTTGTTAAAATCCACCCTGAGCAGAGCATCTCCCAGGGAGAATGGATTCTGCCAACAAACTCAACCCCAAGGTGCTGACTCTCGCCATGTCTTACAGGTTTCTGCCTAGAAATCAAATTGATTTTGTTCCAGAGAAGACATTTGCCTCATTAAAAAATTTAGGAGAACTGTAAGTAGCATCGTCTACTAGGAAGAATATGATTGCTTCTTCCACGATTATCAATTTAAATGACGTGAGACTACTTTTCCATCAGCAGCAATCAACATTCTGTAGACTATTGAAGGTGAAAAAAATCAATTAAGAAAACCAACCTGATCCGAAAGTCAAGAGCACATGAAAAATCATATGGTCGGGCTTAATGTAGAGTTAGCCTACCCTAGTTTTCTTACCTATTTCTTTGGTTGAATATATAGATGCATGTTTGGGAATAAATGAGTGTTCTATAGCTTCTTAGATACAGAGATCATTTAACTCTAGTGGCTGGATGATAGGTAATTCTTCATCAGTGTTTGTTGAACAAATAATGTGGACCAATTGGAATGACATTAGTAAATGGTAACTGAATCAAAGAATTAAATTTCTTATTATTGCTGCAGTAATTATGACTTTTGTCTCGGGTGAATCAAACACGTATGTCTTGAATGAAGAACTCATGTCATGTTTTTCTGTTCAAATATGTTTTCTAGATTTAAACCTCTAAACCAGAAGCATCCTTACATAACTATGTATCTTGGAAGTTGAAATTAAGTCTATTGCATGACAAATAATGGCAAGTAGGGTTAAAAAAAAGTACTCTCCAGATGTAGGTCTTAAAATGGATATTCATGTTTTTCAATGATCCATCTACATTCTTTATACTTTGTTCTGTAATCCAGGAAGTATTGGGGGAAAGAAGTCAGAGTAATTTTTAAAAGTAATTCAGGAGTAATTTCAATCATTTAATCTAGTTAGGGAACATCAGAAATCGCGTCCATAATTTTTATAAAGTACCTGCTACATGCAAGGAACTGCATTTGAACTAAAAGAGATTATCTTTTTTGAGGCAAAAAAGTTAATTAAAGACTCATTATTCCAAAGCAAGCTCCTGGAAATCCCATTGCTGGTCAGGCTCAGGAGAGGGAATATAGACTTGAGTTATGGGGTGAGGAGGGACAGCAACCTGGAACAAACAAAGGCATAATTTATAAATAAATTTAAGGGACTATGTTTTGAAATTTTTCCTAATCCTCTTCAAATCATACATCGCTCTCCCTCATAAAGAAGGGCAAGGAGGTGAACCCAAGATACAATCAGCTAGCTTACTGGTCTTTTAAATATGCATTTATTTATTATTAAGTGGTTTCAATGCCAGAAGTCAAATTATGAATACAGCACATCGTAATCAGTGCTCCCCCTTTCATCGTTCTCCTCCATCTTTCCCCCCCTCATCCCTGCCTTGAAGTTATGTGGTTCAATTCTTACATAATGTACATTGAATAGAATGACTGTAATTGCTCACTTTCCCTTCTTTCGTGTGTCCCCCCCTCACTCCCCTCGCCAATATGGTTCAGCTTCCTAGTGTTCATTTTGCTAAATGGGGTATTGATTGTTCAGAGGAGCTATACCACTGTAGTCTGCCCTTTTTCAGACCACCAGCAATTCATTTCAACATACTTAACCTCGGAGAGCTGTAGGAAAATGTGTAAGCTGAGAGATACTTGAGCAACACAGCTTGAGTTTTTTAAGCACTGGATAATTTTACTTTGCCACTAGGACATCAAATCAACTTAGGGAGAAATAAACTTTCCTGATGCCTTTCCCTGCAATAGAGAGTATATTCTACCTTTACCTTTCTCTGTAACACCTTAAAGGACAATTTCTGGCTATGCCAGGGCATCAGCATCTGGCTCCATGGTCATGCCCTCTCTGTCCTAAGCACATTTGTGTCTTTCTTTCTGGTCCATCATCCAGGTGTGATCCTCTCACTTGGCCCACCAGATGAAAAAAATCACAGCTGGCAAAACCTGGCACTTGGCTATCATAACAGTACCATGCATCTTACTCCATTTCCTGCCTCTTTGTGGGAATCGTATCAGCTTGATACCCAGGCCTGAAAGATGGCTCTTTGCTGCTCTGTCTCTTCCCTGATGCTCTAAGTTCTCTCTAAACCCAAGCCTTTCGGGTGACCCTGTGAAGCCTTCATTGGCTCTCACCTGCTCCACATCGAGGCCCCATCCTGCCTGATGTCCCTCCCTAACTCCAGCCTTTCTTTCATGTTTCTCATTATAGCCATCCCATAACCCACAACCTAATAATCCATCTGCCCCGCTTGAATTCTCACTCTCTGTTGCTTGCTACTTAGTGATGTCTTCCACATGGCTTCCAAATGGAAGTGTGCACAGCAGTCAGAGAGATAACGGGCCAAATGTGTGGAATGGGAGCCTGAAATGTGGTCTAGAATTCCATAAGCATTCTCAGTGATTCCAATGCCACTGGAAAATACTGCCTTGGAGTGTGCATGCCCTTCCACCTAGCCTCCATGAACTTTCCCAGGCTTACTTCCTCTAAATCTTCCCCTTCCCCACCCCCATGCAAATATTTTCTCCTCTATTCCTATTGGACCACTTCCTGGCTCCTGAAGATGGCATTCAATTCCAAGCGTTTCTTTGATTATGTTTACTCTCACCTGAAAAGCTGCTCTTCTTTTACCCTGAACTCATCTGAACTCATTTACCACCTGAACACATCAAGCTGCGCTCACATAACTCCTTAACTTCTCAGGCCATTATTGGTGACTCCTTCCTCTGTGTGTATCTATTCTTCTGTGATTACACTTGTTTCATTCTCTCCTTCTTTTGTAATCTGGCTCTACAAGTACAATTTCCGTTGCTATAAAAAAAAAAGAAGAACAGCTGTGTGCTGTATTTTATGAAGAAAAGGAAACTTGTTTAACTCTTAGAAGGTGGAATGTCCAAGATCAGACAACCCCGTCAAGTTTGTCTGTGTCAGATGGGTGACATTACAGCACAAGCATGTGCAAAAGGCATTACATGGAAAGACAGGAAGCCAAAGAAGCATTTAGGGTCAAGTTTGCTTTTCATTGGAAAAATTTACTTTTGTAGGAACTATGAGAACTACCTTAATCCCTTCCAAGAGTAACATGCCAATGACCTACCACCTCTCACTAGGCCTCCTCTCTTAGAAAGTCTATAACCACAACACTGAAGACCATTCTACCAACACATGAACAACATCCAAATCACAGCACTCTGTGAAGGTTCCTTTAGGGAAAGAGCTAAATCTTAGCTATTTGTAACTGCCCCATATCCATCGTTAGCTCTAAAATATCAAGAAAAAGATAGGTGGACTTGGTACAGCATACCTATAATCCTAGCTATCCAGGAGCTGGAGATAGAAGGGTAGTGGTCTAGGACCAGTCTAAGCAAAAAGCAATAGATTCTATCTGAAAAGCAAACTAAGAGTAAGCATGACAGCTTGAGTTCAAACAGTCCTACCAAATAAAGGCTATGTTTGAGTTTTCAATTCATTTATGTTTAGGAAATTGTATATTGGGTTTTGGTGGTGGTGGTGGTTACTCCCCTATGATTCTTTCTTGATTCTACCATACTATGACATTTAATCATAAACACTCACATTTTTAAAGCAAAAATAGTCCTGTATGAGAATGTATTAAAAACATGGAAAGTTCTATTCAAGATTGTCAAGGCAGATACTGAGTGGCCAACATTATCTTAGTTGGAATTTGAAACAAGTAAAAGACGCAAGAATTGACCTCACAAAATTTAATAAACAAGAGATCACCTACGTGGACCAAGTAGGACTCACAGGAGTGTGAATGACTCAAGTGTACAAAGAGTACCTCCAACAGAGGAAATTAGTCAAAGATCGTAAAGCCAGCATGTGGTAGAAAGGGGGTGAGAGGAAATTCCAGGCAGGAACTGGATGAACATAATGTCAGGTGCCCATAAAGCAATGGAAAACATATCCATTTGGCTGTCTTGTTGCGTAACATGTTATCAGGTTGGTTAATTGGGTCCCTATCTTCTGTTACATCAACTGGGATGACACTAATTGTGAGTAGTAGCAATGCCTAGGTCACAAAATTCCAAAGTAATGGTTTGGGGTTTCACTCTTTCTCACAGGGATCTATCCAGCAATCTGATAACAGAGCTACCAGCCCATCTTTTTAAAGACCAAAAGCTTCTACAAAAGCTGTAAGTTCTCATCATCATCAGATTTAAACAACATCTTAGGCTTCCAAAATAAGAACATTTGTATTTCTTTTTTCTTCCTCTCATGGCAAAAAAAAGAAACCTATCGTCCAATCCTCTTTTGTACCTCCACAAGAACCAGTTTGGAAGTCTCAAACAACTTCAGTCTCTGTAAGTAAAATATTACACTTGTATGTTGACTGTCATTTTAGCGGATGCAGATGCCTCTTAGAGACAATTCCTTCTAAATGAGTAGTTCACACGTAGAAGCATGCATCCTCCCATGATTGTGCATATCACTGTTAGTTTTAATGACATTCTGATTAACCACAAAATTTCCTTTCCTAATGCTGATTGTGTGAAAGACAGTTATGTATTTGAAATCAGATTTATTTTCTTTCTGAAAACTGTATTCATATGGAAAAATATTTCATCCTATAACATTCACAAAACTAAATCTGCATAATTTTTCTTTTAACAATTTGGCAATAACACATTTTTGTAAGGCTTGTCTTCTTTATTTCCTTTTCCCCTGTCATATAAGAAGCTACTTAATACCAGTTGGTTCTTTTAGTAAAATTAAAAAATAAACTTGCAGATGTGAGTATTCAAACAGCTAATGATGTTTAGTGTCTCAAATTGTCAGCCATCTTGAGTTTCAACAGTGTCAAGAATTCTGCCAATTCATGTCTGAGCGTTATGATCCTCTTCTCTCTGTGATCATTTGTTGACCATAAATCATTAGTGTATTTGTTTGCTTTAACTAAATAACACACTATCTCATTTGATCTCAAGGCATTTCTTCATTTAATTTTTTTCCACATTAGCATCAATTAGTTTTTTTGGGGAGTTTCATATTTGACATATCGATATATACTTACATGATCAGATTTGCCAAGTCACTCTCCCTCATTCTTCATTTAATTTCAAAGACTAATAGTTAATATCACTTTTTGTTCTTGTCAACTAGGTTTCTGTTGGTAATTAATACAAGATTAAGTTTTCATTCCAAATTAGTGAGCATCTGCTGATTAAAAACTAACAAGCAATAACAAGAACAACAACAACAAAAAGTGAGCTACACCCTCTCCACCCCCTTGCCATTTCTAAACCAAAGAAATGAATGAAATTGTGGTATTAAAATGTGATTCTGCATGTAAAGTAACGTATTTTTTAAAAATTGACTTAGAGGAGAGTTAAATAGAAGTAATAAATTTGTAAGAGCAGGTATTAGAAAATTTTCATTCATTGGTAACATGAAATTTTGAAGCATCTCATTTAGGACCAGACAATGTGATTACAAAAAATAAAGCTTAATCCTTAAGGCGTTAAAACTATTGTGCATATTTTTCAGAGACCTGGAAAGGATAGAGATTCCAAATATAAACACAGGAATGTTTCAACCCATGAAGAATCTTTCTCACATGTATGTATTATAAAAGAATGAAGACAAAAGCATAGTGAAATATTTTCACATGTGCTCATGTCAATTGTTTAAATGTATCACTGCTCTAAATGTGTTTGTATGCAACAAAAGTCTTCTTTTATTGAGAACTTTTTAATTTTGTCACCTTTGGTCCCTGTTCAAATAGAGTTCAATATTATGATGTGCCGACATGAATGACCCTTCTCTCTGGAAACACGCTGTTAATCCAATTGAGGCCCAATAAGAGATCAGGGTACCAGAATGCCACATTATACACAAGATGAAGTCTGGCTAAATGGTACTCAGGAGACCTGGAAACATTAATTCACTTCACATGAGTGAGCAGTCGGCTGCTCTAAGATTTGAGCCCTTAGGAAGAAAGGTGCTATATAGAGTCCAGGTGTTGTTACTGTTACTAAGTACACTACAAAATGGAGGTAATGAATCTTTATAGTAGTTTCTGTTAAGTCACTTTAGTATATTTGGCTAAAGTGCACTGTGTAAGTTGTGTTAATAATATGTGTTTATAACCTTAATCCTTTCTTTATCAACTGTATAATCAATATGTTCATGATTTAAAAAAAAATTAACCCTTGTCATCCACAAAAGTAGGGAGGACTCGATGTAAGATCCCAAGTTGGGCGCAGCCAGTGGACGAAAGTGTTCATGTGAAGGTGCTTTTTTTGGGGGAGATCATTTTGTTTATCTATGTACAATAGGCATGATGGCTGGAAGGCAGGTGTTTGATACCTGTCCTTGTGGTTTTTGTTCATTTCTCTTTCTGTGGCACCATTAGATAAATATTTAATGAGGCTATCATTTTCTTGATGCAGGCAGAAGGTGAGTACCAGACAAGTTCAACCTTATTAGAACTTGGTGGAAAAGCTGCTGTGTGTTTTTTTAAAATAGGAACCTAAATTCAAAGGTCAGGAAGGAACCAAGTAACATATGACTACCTATGAGGCAGCAACTTCTTTCCCCTTCCTTGTCCTTTATTTATTTATTGAAATAACCTCCCCATCACCATCCCATCCTTCCACCTGGTCCACAGTGGGAGAATGGAAGTATCTTTTTCTGGAGACAGTGGATTTAATGGAATCCTAATAGAACCCAAGGGTGTGCTAGGAAACTCCAGAAAAGGACAAGACACAATAGAGTTACACATCAAGTTCCTTCTATCAGACACTCAATGGTAGGAAGCTGTATTATAAGCCATTCAAAGGCAGAGATTGCCTCCTGGGTCTCTCCTTGACACACCTAGCACACAGTTTCCCATCATACATGTGCTGATCTTATAAATGTTGAGTCCTTCACATGTCCAAGGTATGTTCCAGATACTCAGAATACAGTAACAAATAAGAGAAGTAGGGGGCTGGGAAAGTGGCTCAGTGGTAGAGTGCTTGCTTTGCATGCATGAGGCCCTGGGTTCGATTCTTCAGCACCACATAAGCAAAAAGAAAAAAAAAGCCAGAAGTGGCGCTGTGGCTCAAGTGGTAGAGCGCTAGCCTTGAGCTGAAAAGCTGAGGGACAGCACCCAGGCCCAGAGTTCAGGCCCCACGACCGGACCCCCCTCCCAAAAAAAGGATTGTACTCATAACCTGATTCAAGTAACTGTATCAACTTTACAATAATAACAAATAAATAAAAAAGGATCATATGTTGATTTTTAAAAAAAAAAGAGAAGTAGGCCATCCCATGGAGTTTCCACATAGCTTTGGAACCAGAGTCAATGAGCCAACAATAAATAGTTTATTCAATATTACGATGGGCCAAAACAGAAGCAAAGGCTAGCAGAATGATCTGGAAAGCTTAAGGGAAGTCAGGGTGATATGACATTTTGGCAGACCTGAACAGAAGCAGGGAGCTGCCTGACAGTATCCAGGAGAAGATTCTTCCAGGTGGAGGGCAAAAACAAAGCAAGATTCAAAGGGATGGGCCTGGCTTGTTTGGGAATTAAAAGGCTTTTGTGTTTGGATTAGGAGGCCAGAGGTCCAGTCACAGGAGACCTGGGCACAATGGCAAAGTAAAATAACTGAGACACGAAATTGAGAAATACCAAAAAAAAAAGAAAAAGAAAGAAAGAAAGAAAGAGAAGCAGAATAGACTTGAGGAAAAAAAGTATCTGAGAAATAAATGATGAATTAGTAAAAAGGACAGAGAGAATGTATTTTATGGAGGAAAACCCTGTGCATGCAGGTGCAGGGGCTATGCTCTTCATAAACCACGTAACTTCACCAGTTCCAACACATAAAACTTCTCCATGTTCTCTTTTCTTCTAGAAGTTGAGTAAGTCCTTTCAGGCTCTAAAATCTGTGATTAAGGCAGCTCCATTGCAATTAAATTTTCCTAGTCTCAGACTCTCCTTCTAGGCAGTGTCAGGGGAAAAGGGGCAACTTCAAGTAGATCTAAAGGTTAAAAACTAAAGACAAGTCAGGAATGCTTTTAGGGAGCTGTAGTAAATTCCTTCGATTCTTCCACACACAAGCCCCTAGATAGAAGCTAGATATCCATTCAGTGACTCTAATCCACTTTTTATACCACTCAATAAGAATATCCCAATGTCAGGTAGTATCCTGAGATTTCAAGTCTCCCACAGCATGACCTGACCATCCACAACCAAATAACTTCTGACTTTCTGTGTCCCATTACGTGGATCATCTATCAAAGAACACTGCCAAAAATACCACATCACTTAATGAGGAACTCCTCAGTTAACACAGTCACTACTAAATAAAAATAAACAAGCCTAGGGAAATTGCATACCTAACCGAGTTGCAGCCCTCCTGGTAGAACTGCAGCTGTCATTTCTGTATCATTGCTGTCAAGTGACTCTTCTTTTCCCTTTGACTTTAGTTATTTCAAAAACTTTCGCTACTGCTCCTATGCTCCCCATGTCCGAATATGTATGCCCTTGACTGACGGCATTTCTTCATTTGAGGACCTCTTGGCTAACAATATCCTCAGAATATTTGTCTGGGTTATAGCTTTCATTACCTGCTTTGGAAATCTGTTTGTCATTGCCATGAGATCTTTCATTAAAGCTGAAAATACAACTCACGCTCTGTCCATCAAAATCCTTTGTTGTAAGTATATTTCCTATATAAGTAGACAGGCTAGCTTCTGGAAGCTGTGAGATATAAACATATATATATATATATATATATATACATGTAGTTATATATACGGTGTGTGTATATATTATGTAGAGACCTTCAAAAGGGAATTTAATAGTAATTTAATATAACATAAATTTAACAGAAATTATATATGTACGTTGAGAAAGTTTATTTTCTAAATAACAAAGTGCTACCATATTTCAGAATGTATGTTCTTATAGTGACTTATGCTTGAATATTAACTCTTAAATGTGGGATAAAAGAAAATTGGATAAGGATTGATGATGGAGAAAGTCTTGAGGGTTATAAGCCAAACCTGATTAACTTAAAATAACATTCATGTTTCTCAAAAAGACAATCTCCTCTGTAAACTATGCAAGTGATATATATTTGCTGTCTAAATACTAGCCTTATCCCCTCTCCCCCATTCATTTTAGACTTTCTCTTATCCATTTAAAACTAAGACGTAGTGTGGTGCTGTAGAAATTGCACATATTTGAGAGCCCCGGGCTCCTAGAGGAGGTAGGATGTTAGTTCATTGAATGTAGGAAGAAGGCTAAACCAAGAGATGTTTAGAATTACCAACGTGCACTGCATCGATTTGTCCCCAGGTGCTGACTGTCTGATGGGGGTATACTTGTTCTCCATCGGATTTTTCGATCTAAAATACCGAGGGCAATATCAGAAGTATGCGCTGCTGTGGATGGAGAGCTTGCCATGCCACTTCATGGGCTTCCTGGCCATGCTGTCCACTGAAGTCTCCGTCCTGCTCCTCACCTTCCTGACTCTGGAGAAGTTCTTGGTCATCGTGTTCCCCTTCAGTAACATTCGCCTGGGAAAGAGGCAGACCGCCATCATCCTCAGCTCCATCTGGATGGCTGGATTTCTCATCGCTGTCATTCCCTTTTGGAATGAGGATTCTTTTGGAAACTTTTATGGAAAAAATGGAGTATGCTTTCCACTTCATTATGACCATACAGACCATACTGGAAACAAGGCATATTCTCTTGGAATTTTTCTAGGTAAAAAAAAAAAAGTACTTCTTTTCATTTCCTGGGTAAATATCGTTTTCATAAAGATATCATGTACTTCAGCAAAGATGGATGTACTCACTTGGAGAAGTAAAGGAATATAGTTAAGTAAAGGAATATAGTTATAGTTATGTCCTTTCCAAAGAAAATATTTGCTATGCATTTCTAAAAGTTGTTTTATTATTATTATTATTATTATTATTATTATCTCCTCTCTATTCCTTGATTTCACACTCATATATTGAGTAGCGGAGCTGGGAAAATTCTAGTTTATATTTGGTCCTGAAACCCTACTGACTTACTTGAACTCTCTTATTTCGTATCTAGTTTTGGAGATAATTGAGAAATAATAAATTCCTGGAAACTCACTAGCAAGAGATTATTTATGAAGAAAGCAATAGCAAGAAGATACATTGCCTCTGGCAAATGTAGCTTGTAGGTCAGAAATATAAGGATGTATAGAGTGGCTTTCTTGTTTAGTTTTCTGAATTCCTCTTGCTTTTTTTGTGGTGGTGGTAGGATTTTGTTGTTGTTGTTATGAAAAACCCTAAATTCACTGTTACAAATCAGTGCCAAGCTTAGCACTTGTAAATTCTTTTTTCTTCGGTGCAATATGTATTTCTTCTGCTTAAAGTCAAGGGTATTCCCTTTCTGTTCTTTTTCCTTTAGTCGACCACTCTGATCCTTTCTTTTTGTGTGTTGGGGCAAGGAGAATACTGGGGCTTGAACTCAGCACCTGAGCACTGTTCTTCAGCTTTTTGTCTCAAAGCTGGTTCCATATCACTTGAGTCACAGCACTACTTCTGGCTTTTTGGTGGTTAGTTGAAGATAAGTCTTACAGATGTTCCTTCCTAAGCTGGCTTTAACTGCTATCCTCAGATCTTAGCCTCCTGAACAGCTATAATTTCAGGGGTGAGCCACCAGAACCAGCTGACACTTCCTTTTTCATCAAAACATTCCTCTGCCTTATATTCCTTCTAGTCTCTACCCACTGTTATGAACTTATGTTGAAACCTTAATGTTTTCTCCAACTTGGAATATTATCTGTGCCCGAAGTGGTATTTGACCTTATAATCTTCCCCTCTTCCCATTTATGTGTTTACCATCCTTGTTACAATGTCCCTGGGTATCAAAAAGACTATACACTATATATCTGTTCTGCACAGATGTCTTCAATGTTTTTTTTTACTCTTTTCAAGGTCAAGTTTAAATAAGTCACTTTAAATCCTTACTCTATGGCTGTAATCATTGTTCCCAGTTCTTCATCTATGCCTTCTCTTCCTCCTCTGAAATACAAACTCTCCATTTCCACCATCTTAATAATACTGCTCACACACTATACTAAACAGTAGCTATCTGTGTTCTTGGTATATAACATAAGCTATTTTAACATTTGGTCCTTGTTGTTGTTGCTGTTGTTGTAGCTGTGGTTTCAGTACTAGTGTTGAATCTTATGTTTTACCACTTGAGTTATGCCCAACCCCTTTATCCTTCAGTCATTTTTCAGATAGGGTCTTGCGTTTATGCCCAGGCCTGGTTTGCACTGAGAATCTCCTATCTCTACTTTCCACATAGCTGGGATGACAAGAATGAGACACATGCCTGGCCCTACAACTTATTTCTTCACTGTTCCTAAATTGTACTGTATAGAAACCCTACCTCTATACACACACACACACACACACACACACACACACACACACACACACACACACACACACACACCCCTGTACTCACTACATTACATGCATAGTCAACAGGATTCTTTAATACCTTCCATAGACTTCTATGTATTTAGTACTGGATCCCTAGTCCTCCCAGATAAGGGGACAGGGAGCAGACAAGTACACATATTCATACATCTCAGGCTAATAAATACCATGGCAGAAGAGCATGGGCATTCAGGAGTCCTCTATTTGATAACAGCAGAAGGCTTCCCAGTAGAGATGAACCCCAATGGAAGCCCAAATGCTGAGGAGGTAAAGTCAATTGAGGGCTGAGGGCTGTGTTCCAGGAAAAGAAAGAGTAGACTCAAAGGCCAAAGCTAGGAAACAGGCCCAGATGAAGAGTTAAATAAATTTAGTGCAGCTGGATCTTCAGGTAAGATAGAAGGTTTACCAAAAGGAGTTAGTTACCTGTGACATATTCCAGATAGACAGCAGTATTAAATCATACATGTAAGCTAGGTGCTGATGGCTCATGCCTATAATCCCAGCTATTGACAGAGCTGAGATCTGAGGACTGCAGTTTCAAGCCAGCAAGGCAGAAAAGTCCTTGAGACTCTTACCTCCAATAAACCACTGAGAAAAAGCTGGAAGCAGCACTGTGGCTCAAGTGGCAGAGCACTAGCCTTGAGCAAAAGCAGCTTAGGGACAACCCCAGGCCCTGAGTTCAAGCCCCAAGACTGGCAAAAAATATCCATACATGTACACACATACATCACCACCACCATTATCGTTATTATAATTATTATCCATGTATGCATGGTGTGTATATAAATATAGATAAAATTACATTTTTGTTTGAAGAATTTGAGTACAATATTTTTAAATTAATTAGTTTTATTTTACAGTAGTTTTAAATATAGAGAATAGTTGCAAGGAAAAATGCCAATGGCTCATGTTTGTAATCCTAGTAACTTGGGAGGCTGAGATCTGAGAATCAATGTTTGACGCCAGTCCAGGTAGAAATATCCATGAGGCTCATCTCCAATGCTACCCTTGAGCAAAAAAAAGCTATGGAACTGTGCCCAGGACCTGAGTTTAAGACTCAGTAGTGATACATACATGAAAACATTGCAAAGAGAGTATAATTTTCCGTCTAATTATGCTACTATACTACTTACACTAGTACATACATTCAGAACCTGCCCTTAACAAGAGTTTGAACTCAGAGTTTCTCACTTCCTCAATTTGCTTGCTTAACACTAATTCTACCACTTGAACCATGCCTCCAGTCCAGCATCTTTGCTGGATAATTACCAATGAAGTCTCATGGACTCTTCTGTCTAGGTTGACTTCAAACCTCAGTCTTCAGGATTAAATTCCTGAGTTACTAGGATTGTAGGAATGAACCACTAATAATAACTTTCTTAATTTTGTAGGATATGCATTAAATTTTATGACTGCATTCTCATCCCCTCATGGCTTTAAAAAAAACAACTGTGAAAATATATGTAAATATTCTGTTTGCTGTAAGGAATAATATAATCACTCAGGATTATTATTACAACAGAATAAAACAATGGGAAAGATTGAGAATTAGCATCACAGGGATAGTAATTTTAGATGAGTAGCCTATAAATATATTGGAGCTCTAAAGAGCAAGTCATACAGATGAATTTTAATTTTTGTTTGTTTCCTCTTCAAAATTGAGTCCAAAGGGTTCTAAACCACAGCAATCTAAATTATTATGAGGAACCTGAAAAAAATGTGCAAAAATGCATTTTCTGTTTCACATATTTTTGTTTAAGACTCAAAACCATGAGTCATTGCCTCATTTCTGAGGCAATTATGTTCATGCTAAACTCCAAGGTTACCTTGATCGTATGCATAACATAAGGAAATTGGATTATATTTATTTCTTAAAACATGCATATGATCTTGTATATACATTTTTCTAATGTGGGAGGGGAAGGGAAATAAAAAATGCTGAAATAAGGATACAGGTTGACCCACTGTAACAATGAGATGTACAAGACACTATGTTGAAAACGAACTTTACAACTTGGGGGGGGGGAGGGAGGAGTTGGGGAGGTAAGAAGGGAAGGGATGGTAGGGGCTAAACAAAGGAGGAGATAACATTTGATAGGAAATGTAACCATTACTCATGTAACTGTAACCCTCTGTACAATAAAACACATTTTTAAAAAGACTCCATGTGAGGGTTGACTCTTGAAAGAGCTAAAAACAAAAGTAGCTTATGTTCAGGCTTTAAAAAAAAAGCTAGAGATTACTTCATGATGTACCTAGAGCTGAATTTCAGATGTCTGTAATTTTCTATATAAAAAAATTCATGCCGTTGAAACCTCTTTGTTTAGTTGGAAAGCCTTTATCATATTTCTTTTATTTTTATTTTTGATAGTTCTTTTTTTTAATTGTGAAAATACTGTACAGAGGGGTTACAATTACATGGGCAAGATAATGAGTACATTTCTTATCAAGCATTGTTGCCTCCTCCTTTGTTTCCCCTTCCCATCCCTTCCCATCTCCCACCCCCACCCCTCATACTCCCCACTCCCCCACCCCTGCCAAAAATGTAAAGTTCGTTTTTTGACATAACGACTTGTACATCTCATTGTTGCAATGGGTTCACCTGTATCCCTATTTAAATGATTCGTTTTTACCCTTCCCTTCCACAAATTATACCAACATCAAATACAGTGAAAACAGGGGTTATACCGTGGGGGGAGGGGCATAGAAAGCAACAAAGAAATCATCTTATAAATGTGTTAGAAACAATCGCATGAAAGAAAAAAACATTTGCATATCTTAGGGTTCATGTCCCTAACATCAACTTATCTGACCTTTTCTGCTTGACTCAGACATATACTAGTTATTGCAAATAAGGGAAACCATGGGACCTATGTTTCTTTGGGCCTGGCTTACTTCACTTAATATAATTGTTTCCAAGTCTTTCCATTTCCTAACAAATGGGGCAATGTCGTTCTTTCTGATGGAGGCATAGAAACTTAAGAATTTTAGCTAAATGCTTCTGATAAGACAAATGATTCTAGAAAGTACAAGTGTGTGAACCATCATATTCAAGTACCCCAGTGTTTACTGTTGAGATGTTAAGAACTGTGCTTTCCCCAACAGGTGTGAACTTGCTGGCTTTTCTCATCATTGTATTTTCCTACATTACTATGTTCTGTTCCATTCAAAAAACTGCTCTGCAGACGGCAGAAGTGAGGAATCACATTGGAAAAGAGGTGGCTGTTGCAAATCGCTTCTTTTTTATAGTGTTCTCTGATGCCATCTGCTGGATTCCTGTGTTTGTAATTAAAATCCTTTCCCTCCTCCGAGTGGAAATACCAGGTCAGTCCCTTCTACTATTTATTCCCAAATGTATTAATGCCTTCTTGGTCCCTTTGTTTGAGGAGGCTGGAATCTTGAACAGTGCCTAACACATAGTAAATTCCATAAATATGCATGTCTTCAACACAAAAGTTATTTTTTCCTCTGGTGGTGGTGGTGGTGGTGTGTGTGTGTGTATGTATGACTACTGGGGCTTAAACTCAGAGCCTCTTGCTCTCACTTGGCTTTTCCCTCCAGACTGGTGCTCTAGCTACCACTCAGGTACACATCTTGGCTCCCAGACACTAAACTTAGAGATCTGTGTGAAGCTACATCTTCACTTCCACATTTTACTGGTTAATTGGCGTCTCACTGACTTTTCTGCCTGAGCTGGTTTCACACTGATACCCTCAGATCTCAGCCATCTGAGTAGCTAGAATTATAGGCATGAGCTACCAGTACCCAACTTGCTTCAGTGTTTTATAATCAGCATTCTGAGAGGGAATAGTGGTGCTGCAGTCCAGTTAGAAATAATTTTAAAATGGGAGCTAAAAAGAAAGCTAGTTGGAGCACCTTGCCTCCACCTGAGCTACATAGCAGTTTTTAAAGAGGCATGGAAAAATCATTAAAATAGGTATACCCTGGTTTCACACAGTCCTCTGAATTACTGCTCTGACATTAGAAGACCTTCCTAAAACTGAGTGGAACATGCCATTCAGAATGTTCTTTAAGCCAGGTACCAGTGGCTCATGCCTGCAATCCTAGCTACTCAAGAGGCTAAGATCTGAGGATCAAAGCCAGCCCGGGAAGGAAAGTCCATGAGACTCTTATCTCCAATAAACCACTAGACGCTGTGGCTCAAGTGGTAGAGCACTCGCCTTGAGCTGAAGAGTGCAAGCACAGTGCCCAGGCCCAGAGTTCAAGCCCCATGACCGACAAAAAAAAAAAGAAAAAAAGAAATCCAGAATGTTCTTTAAACATGGAGTTTTACAGACTATTTGTCTTTGCCTGATAGAAAGCAGGTTCCTCTCAGAAACCGATTTTTCTTCAAGATTAAGGTACAATTAAGGTGACAATTTCTTTTGGGATTACCACAAACCAAAGTAACCTACTTTGTGTAACTTTGATCATTATTCAGATCATACTTTTTTCCAATAAGAATAAGTAATATAAAACTTTAATTAATCTAAATAAATTTTTCTTCTATTTTATTTACAGTTTAAAAAAATAAGAAAGTTGAGGGAAGGGTTGGGGTTGGGACATATGGGGGAGAATAATGGAAGGGGTGACATTGACCAAGATGTATTGTACTCATAAACTTCTTTATTGAATGACAACTCCTTTGTATGACTAAAAAATTTAAATATTTTAAAAATTAGCATGAGGAAAAAGGATGGAATGGGAAATGGTAGTAGAATACACAGAAGAAAGAGAGAAAGAAAGTGATAAAAGAGAGAAGGTCACACAATTAGAGAAGAAATTGAAAAGAAAAGAAAGTTCTTTAGAGCATAAAGCAGGGTCAAGAAAAGAACAAAGTTAGGGCTGGGAAGGTAGCTCAGTGGTAGAGTACTTGCCTTGCATGCATGAGGCCCTGGGTTCCATTCCTCAGCACCACATGAGCAAAAAGAAAGAAGCCGGAAGTGGCGCTGTAGCTCAAGTGGTAGAGCGCTAGCCTTGAGCTGAAGAGCTGAGAGACAGCGCCTAGGCCCAGAGTTCAGGCCCCACAACCGGACTCCCTCCCCCCCCAAAAAAAGAACGAAAAAGAAAAGAAAAGAACAAAGCTAAATGGTTAAAAGGTAAGACAGTCAAAGGATTGGAGGGGGAAGAGAGACTGACAAAGGATAATGAGGGGAAATATCATCGGCTTTATTACCCAGCTGTTCACCTAACCTGGGAGTTCTTTGAAATTTCAGCAATACGGGAGGAGCCAGGATTGTAATGAGGCTTGAAAATTCCAAGAGGTGTGACCGTTGAAAAGAGATGTCCACAGAGCTACTAACTAAGGCCTGGATTCATATCTCTAGACCCCCTTCTTTTGTGACTGTTCTGGGGCTCGAACTTAAGGCCTGTGCATTATGCCTGAGCTTTTGTCCTCCAGGCTCTACCACTCGAGCCTCAGCTCTCCTTCCAACTTTTTTGGTGTTTAATTAGAGGTAAGAGTCTCATGAACTCCTTCACAGGCAGGCTTCAAATTGCAATCCTCATATCTCAGCCTCCTGAGTAGCCAGAATTACAGACATGAGCCACCGACACCTAGCCCCCGGATCTATTTTACAGAGAAGGTAAATGAAACCAAGAGAGTGCAAAGAACATATCCAAGATCATACATCTAAGAAATGTGTCATCAGAGGAACAGGCTACCTTTAGAGGGGTTACGACATTTCATTCTAACTCAGCAAATGAGACAGTTGGAATGGACACTGTCATACCAAATTTCTTTCAACAAGGTGACTTTTGGGGTCTCACTCCCTGAATATTTTATTAGTATATGTAAGACTGCACACAAAATGAAGAGAAGAAGGGTGGGAGAATACAGTCATAACATTCAATATATATGTGAAAGTAGATCTAGAAAAATTGAGGGGATGGGTGAGGGTTATGGGGGAGAATGATTAAAGGGGTGACATTGATCAAGATGCATTGCACTCATAAACTGACATGTCAAATTGAGACCACTGTGTACATCTACTTAAAAACAATAATAGAAATATGAAACTGAAATAAAACAAATGGAATTCAGCCTGGCACTGGTGTCTCACACCTGTAATCCTAGCTACTCAGCAGGCTGAGATCTTAGGATCATGGTTCAAGGGCAACCCAGGCAGGAAAGTTCTTGAGACTCTTAACTCCAATAAACCACCAAAAAGCTAGAAATGGAGCTGTGGACCAAGTGGCAGAGTATTACTCTTGAGCAGAAAAAAAAAAAAAAAAGCTCAGGGACAGCACCCAGGCCCTGAGTTCAAGCCCCAGGACAAGCAAAAAATAGCAACAAGGAAAACCTCCCCAGGACTGGCATAAAAATAAAGTAAAAAAGGGAATTCACTAACTGGAGGACACATTCCTCTTCAAATCTTTAAACCCCAATAATATGCTAATAGCAAACTGGGAACATCAGGGCAGAACAGTAACTTGAGCACGGGGTGGAGCTCCCACTAAAGTCAGATGTGCCACACTAGAAATTTCTTGAACAATGTTCTGTTGATTAAGGATGGCTCCTCACTTGTCTTATTTTTCTGTAAATGAAAGCAATAACACATGAAATTACATTAAGATCAATATACAGTTTACAAAACATTTTTAGATTTTTGTCATTTTGACTCCAACTGTCTGCACTTTAGTGTCTTAAACTCAGAAAGGCAAAATGGGTAAGACCTTGAATCCATTGCTCCTTGGTTTTTTTCCCCTCATAAATGGCATTCTTCAATAAGGTCAGAGGAAATTTAAGTGTAGTGCACAACTACCTCCTTAATAGTATTAGCTGAAAACTTTTGTGGATTTGTGTGTGTGTGTGTGTGTTGGTCGTGGAACTTGAACTCAGGGCCTGGGCACTGTCCCTGAGCTCCTCAGCTCAAGGCTATTGAGCCACAGCGCCACTTCCGGTTTTCTGATGGTTTATTGGAGATAAGATTCTCACAGACTTTCCGGCTTTGAACCATGATCCTTAGATCTCTGTCTCCTGAGTAGCTAGGATTATAGACACGAGCCACCAGTACCCAGCAAAATTTTCTTATATGTATTGAAATCACAAAACCTGGGCACTGGTGGTTCACATTCGTAATCCTAGCTACTCAGCAGGTTGAGATCTGGGGATCTCAGTTTAAAGCCAGCCCAGACAGAAAAGTCTATGAGATTCTTATCTCCCATTAATCAGCAAAAAGCTGTAAGTAGAGGTATGACTCAAGTTGTAGAGCACCAACCTTGAGTGAAAAAAACCAAGTGAGAGTTTGAGTTCATAGCCAGTACCAGAAATCAATCAATCAATCAATCACATAAAACATCGTGGTAGCTCAGTGATAGTGTTCTTAGCTAGTATTTTCAAGGCATTGAAGTCAATCTCGCCACCCCCTTTAGGCTGAAAGTATATCTCAGTAGGGCACTAGCCTAGCATGGATGAAGCCCTAGGTTTGGTTCCCAATACCACACACACACACACACACACAACTCACCTGCTTGTTTTCATATTTTGTTTCCTTCTTTAGGCACAATCACTTCCTGGATAGTGATTTTCTTCCTTCCTGTAAACAGTGCCTTGAACCCAATCCTCTACACCCTCACCACCAGCTTTTTCAAGGACAGGTTGAAACAGCTGCTGCACAAACATCGGAGGAAATCCATTTTCAAGATTAAAAAGAAAAGTTTATCAACATCCATGGTGTGGACAGATGACACCTCTTCACTTAAACTTGGGGTTTTGAGCAAAATAACCTTTGGGGACAGTATAATAAAGCCAGTTTCCTAGTGATGGTTGGAATCACTGGATTTTCACGGGACTACCTAAAACAAGGTACAGCTTTTGGAAGATGGCATCTGCAATGCTTTTCAACTTGGCCAGCGGCAATCTTTGCCACCTAAGGAGCACAGAGGACTGACTGCTGGCCCTGCTTTCCAGTGGCGGCTGACTACCTATCAACTGTGCTGAGAACTGCACTGAACGTTTCTCAACCTCATAGGCACAAGTGAATCTACTTAGAGTAGGCTGATAAACAGGTGACCTCCAGCCAGGCAACACTACAAAACTACCCATGAATGCCTCTCTACGTGTAGAAGATGCATATAGTCTTTTACATTGCACTGTCCATAAAATAAAAGAATTCACCACCTTTTATTCCACAATGACTTAAATCTGACATCTCTTTCCTTGTTGGTCCAGGATCAAATAAAATCATCAGCAATGTGTGGATGCTTTGATAGCAAAGATGTTGATTTACCCCTGAGACCTACTTTTGTAGGCTGATTAGAAAATAAAACTTCAAAATTACCAGGTTTAATCTGACCACAGAGGCACGCTGTTGAAGCCCATTTGCTTCCTTGGACTTTCTTAAACTTAGAAAAGCTGAAATCTTAAGTAAAATGTTTTATCTAAAATACCAAGGAAAATGAAGCACCCAACTGTGAAAAAGACTATACTTTTGTTAAAAGATAATTTCTTTAAAGCAGTATTTCTTTTGTTGGTAAGTTCTGTTTCTGTAAAACACACCAAAAGTACTGAAAGAGATTCGAGAAATTGTTTGACTCGAGACAACGTGTTTATTTGTATAGACTCCTTCCCTGAAAACTTTTCTTTTTCAACAACAAGGCCAGTAACTTTGGATTTGTTTTTTTAAAACTGAAAAAAGTGTTTGTGAGGGCCTGGGTTCTTTTTTAATACTGAAAGTTTATATGTGAAGTAAAAAGGTCAGGAAAATAAAATTATATTTTACATTTGTCCACTATTTTAACAAAGACCACAGGTAAGGTTAATGACTAAGCTTGTCTCTCAATAAAGAATATGGGTGCTAGGGCTGGGAAGGTGGCTCAGTGCTAGAGTGCTTGCCTTGCATGCATGAGGCCCTGGGTTTGATTCCCCAGCACCACATAAGCAAAAAGAAAAAAAAGCTGGAAGTGGCGCTGTGGCTCAAGTGGTAGAGCACTAGCCTTGAGCTGAAGAGCTGAGGGACAGCACCCAGACCCAGAGTTCAGGCCCCACGATTGGACCCCCCCCAAAAAAAGAATGTGGGTGCAAAGCCCAGCACTTCCCCTAACACCAAGACTCGTAGTAAACTTTTTCTTTCTTCCTTTTCCTTTTCACAAAACATAAAAAAGGCAAATTTCTATAGCATTTACTTCATGGAGACAAAATGTAAGTATCTATCTGAAAAAACATACCTTTTTATCCAGTAGCATCTAGGACACACACACACACACACACACACATGCGTGCGCGCGCACGTATCCAGCCATCCTCATAATTAACTTGCTATTATTTAATATTCACTAAAATGACAACACATGTTCCTTTGATAAATAGGTCATTTCTTACCTATAAGTGAAGGCTTTCCATTAAAATTCTGAAACTAATGTACCTACCCCTTGACTAGGCTGCTCTTTTTCCTTCCAGTTGCAAACTTTTCTCTCTCTCCTTCCTGCAACATGATGATTGCCTTCGTGCAGATTCTCTGGATTCACTGACATTTTACTAAGTGTCCTTGGCAGGTCCTTGATCACTGTTATAGTTTGGGTTTTGCGTGTTTCCCAGTGCCTTGTCTGTTGAAGGCTTGATTTCCCCTCTGATACTCTGTTGGGCGGTGATAGGACCTTCAGGAGGCAGGCCTAATTGAAGAAAGTTAGGTCACTGGGAGCATGAAATTAAAAGTATGTTGGGATACTAGTCCCTTCCTCTCTTTTTACTTCCCAAATGCCATGAAGTAGACACGTTTCCCTTGCTCTGGTATAATGTGCCCAAAAGCCACAGGGTTGAGTGACCATGCACTGAAACCTCTTGGACATGAGCCAAGATAAATCTTTCCTTCTTCTTTTATTTTTTTGGTCTGAGACCAGGACTGATACCTGATGCTTTTACTCATTGGCTAGCACTCTACCAATTAAGGCATTTCTCCAAGCCCTCTTTTCTCCTTTGCTTCTCTCATAAGTCCTGGGGTCAAAGTGATGGAAAGGTGATTCCCACAATCACCATGTGATTTATTTACTAATGTATTTCCCAACATCAGGACATAAATCAGAAATAGTTCCTAAGCCTACACTGTTTCCATTTGGGCAGAAATGTGGATCTCATATTCTTGAAAGGAATCATCAATGATCCAAGAACCAGACAGACAAGAGTGAGCTTTGAACACCCATACTACTCCTGTTGACTATAGCCTGAAGATTCCTGGAAGTCTGCAGCTATGAGAAAAACTGGAAACTATGTATGAGTCAGTAACTTTCAAATAACAGAAGTCCATTAGCTTAGTGATTGAAATCCAATAGTTTAGTGAGCTACAATCTTACTCTGTATTACTATACAAACAATACTACTAAAAATAATATGCACTATACCAAATAATGGTATTCTATCTGGACTAAGATCATTTGTTGGGTAAACCTAGTTTTCCAGTAAGTTATGAAAATATCACCTGAGTTGGTGAATCATTTCCTATTAGAATAGAAATCTAGCTATCACACTAGAATGATTTTAACAGGTCATAGACAGTGCCACCTTGGAGTAGAAGAGGAGGAAGTCCATCCCCACACTCATGTGTACATGGCTAATATCTTGAATTAAAGGAGAAAGGAAAGCTGGGTAGCTTCAATAGCCTATGCCTCTAATAGTAGCTACTCAGGAGGCTGAGGTCTGAGGATCCAGGTTCAAAGCCAGCCTGGGCAGAGAAGTCTGTGAGACTCTTATCTCCAATTAACCACCACAGAAGCTAAAAGTGGAGATGTAGCTCAAGTGATAGAATGTCAGCCCTGAATGAAAACGTCAAGCAAGACTGTGAGACCCTAAGTTCAAACCCTAGTACTGACACTGAAGAAAAGGTCGGGGAGGGAGAGAAAAGATACAAATGCAGGGCTGGGAAGGTGGCTCAGTAGTAGAGCGCTTGCCTTGCATGCCTGAGGCCCTGGGTTCGATTCCTCAGCACTACATAAGCAAAAAGAAAAAAGCTGAAGTGGTGCTGTGGCTCAAGTGGTAGAGTGCTAGCCTTGAGCTGAAGAGCTGAGGGACAGCGCCCAGGCCCAGAGTTCAGGCCCCACGACCGGACCAAAAAAAAAAAAAAAGATACAAATGCATATGGAGTTTCAGGTGGGAGTGCATATAGAGTACTGAATATCTGTGTTAACCATAGCTCTAAGTTCGCTTATATCACTTTGTTTCATTCTTAAAACTCAATTGATTTTCTTTCTGTCAAAATGGTTTAGGCCCATTGCAGTTACTGAAATAGCTTTGTGATGGCCATGGGCTTTAAATGAAATTATACAAATCTGAATTTAAGGTGGGAACCGTATCACCTTTCCCCACTCTTATTTTGCTCCTCCCTTCCCGCCGCCCCACCTTGCATCCCCCTCCACTGGACTCCTGGCCATACTCTTCAGAATGTCAGTCTCTTAAGGATAACTCTGGTACCAGAGAGTCTATATTGCTGACTTGCTACACATCCGCCCATGCTACATTTTCAAGATTGTATCTTAACCCAGATAATTCTTCACAGTTCGCTACTATTCTCGAGTTAGTAAGTAATGAAAGTGCTGAAGTGTCATCAAGTATATAGAAACTACATGCCTCCCAAAATTAACCAAGAATATATGTGTGACATATTTTTCTTCATTTTTCAATGGATCATATGTTGAAATTGTTTTAGCTTGACTCAGAAATACTGCCTATGCTAAAATTCATGCCTGTAATCCCAGCACTCGGGAGGCTGAAACAAAAGGATGGTGAGTTCAATGCTAGCTCAGGATTTGTCGCAAATTCTTCTTTCCACAAACAATTATGTTTTGTTGTTTTGTTCTGAGATGGGAATCTCACTATGTAGCTCAAACTGGCCTTGAATTCACTGTGTAGGCTTAGCCTTGAACTCATTTGAAATATAGGTGGGTGTTACTATGCCATACAAGCTAGTTTTACCTATTCTCTTACCCTGGTAAATAGCAAGACAGAAGCCAGGTGTTGGTAGCTCATGGTAGCTACTCAGGAGGCTGAGATCTGAGGATTGTGGTTTAAAACCAGTCTGGGCAGGAAACTCTTCGAGGCTTTAATCTCCAATTAATCACTAGAAAACCAGAAGTGGTGCTGTTGCTCAAAGTAGTAGAGCACTAGCCTTAAGCAGAAGAGCTCAGGGACAGCACCCACAGAGTTCAAGCCCCACAAGTAACAGAGAGAGAGACAGAGAGACAGAGACAGAGAGACAGAGAGAGAGACAGAGAGACAGAGACAGAGAAACAGAGAGAGACAGAGACAGAGAGAGAGAGAGAGAGAATGACTACAAAGTTCTGTGTTTATACTTATCCATTAATGTGTCTGTTTATAGGCCAGTCATCTCACATCCTATTTATGCAAGATGGAAGGTTACATATGCAATAATGATAATGTTCATCTTTGAACTACAAAAATGAAATTAAACTTTCAAAAATGACTTTTGGGTAGGAGACTTCAAAGTTCTTAAGAAATACTTGCTAACTTCTCTAAACTGGTTGAAACCTATTATTCAATCTATTTCTAACTAGTAAAGTCTTCAGGCTGCTTCCCCATATAACACATGTAAGAGGAATAAATTACAAATGAAGAAACAGGAAACAACAAGGCCCAGTTGTGAAATCACAGTCCCAGGAATGAGAATATTATGCTGTTTCAACACACTCACCCCAAGTCACAGCGACACTTCTTAATTCCTAAGTAGTTTGGATACAAGAATTATTCAGGAACCACACAGGAAGGAAGCAGAGGCACTTGTACAAGAGTAGTGCTTCTCTGAACTCCAGGTGCTATAGTGTTTGAGTGTTTGATGCAGTGATTTTCACACTGAAAGCCCAGGCTTTTCTGCTACTGACAGCACACATCTGAGGGAAGGAGATTCAGGACA